GTAATTTAGTTTAATAAATTTAGTTCACTATATATATCTTGATGAGTTGTTTATTTCATATTAAATGTACTAAATCACAAAAATAATTTGTCATACCTGTATTGTTTCTCATTTAATCAAACATTTGGAATTCAAATATACCACGGACCTTTTACTGAATAAAAGTCATCATCCAAACCCCTAGTTTTTTGTTTCTTTTTAAATATTTAATATATAATATATTATTAAAATCCATTTTCTATGACGTGAGTATATACGGCAAACCACCTTAACACCCACTATAAAATTGCATGGTTGAAAAAAATATATCGACAATAGTAAGTTTTATGTATTACGTCATGTAATTTTATGTTTTATTTAGTCCTCTGTGATTATATGAATTTTTTTAAGTTTTTACTTTCAAATTGATTTCAGTAGTGATGTCATACACGATCTACCCAAAAACAATATTTAATTACGTTATTATTTATCATAAATTAATTACACAGATATGTTCATATATTTTATGATTATTATTGTTCTTTTTATTTGTTTAATCTCTAATATAATTTATGCAACATTTTAAGATATATTTTACATTATCGGACACCTTTTTTTTGCATTTTTTTAATTAAGCATACTAAACTTAATAATAAAGTAAGATTTTGGCGACTGGACTAGTTATAGCTAATTTAAGTCAGTAAATATATGTGTGTTATATTTTATAGTTAATAAATTATTAACTGAATAACTATTAAATTATTTAATTAGCTAAAAATAATAATTTATAAAACAGGCACTAGCCGTATTTTATGTATTTATATAATAAGTATTATCTAGCATTATTTTTCACAATTATTATATTAATTATAGAGTTCACAATATCAACAAAAGTATAGGAAATAATCAAACTATCGTTGTCACTCGAGGATATTTTATTTTTAATTGTCTGAATAAGTTACAATTTTTTTTTTAAATACATTTTATGTAACTTGAGTTATACTTTTTTAAAACTAAACTATTTAAGCTTAAATCTTAAGTTTCCCAGAATAAAATTAGAGGTATCCTATAAAACAAAAAAGTTCCCACTTCAATAATATACAACACTAGATAGTCTATAATTCACTATTACTATTTTTTTAAGCTAAAAATGTAACTTGTTGGTCAAAAAATCTTTTTGCTTGTTTTAGTATTTTTTTAAGATTTTCATTAATTAAATGACGCCTTGTTTTATTTTATTGCATGTCAAATTTTTATCTTTATTTGAAGTAACCACTGCTTGCTTTTTAAATAATTTACAAATGTTTCTTCATCAAGCATAATAATTTGATAAAAATGGTCAAAGTTCAAATTTATTATAAAATAAAAAAAAAAAAAGAATAAGTAGCTCGTAAAACATTTAAATACGTAGGTTGTACAGTGGTAACAAAATAATATTCTTCGTATATTCCCAGTATTTATTTAGGTAATTGAAATAATTCATATTTCATTCGAGTTATAAAAGTGTTTTCATATTTTTTTCAATTTCCTTATTGATAGATCGTTTACGATATCATTAGTGATTTTATTTTTACTTTATTAATGTAGGTTGTTCAATATTTATAGTTATTTTGTTAATATGTATACAAGTTAATTTAATCTAACCAGGTAATGCTATGAATTAGAGTGAACACAAAAAATTCTTTAATTTTAATTTAGGATATTTTGTTAAAGACATTTTAGATTATATCAGTGGATAAATTGTAATAAATATACTGAGGGGTGGATTTAACAATTTGTCATAACATTATCAACTTACTAATATTTTATAATTGTAAGAGAACAAAACCTCTTTAATAACTGAAAATTATGTTTTGGAGATTGTTTAGGTCGACAGTATGCATATTTGAACTACACTATAAAATATAAGAGGACATTTCGGCTTGGGGATTTAGCCCCAATTATTCAGCAAAATGTCAATTCGACGATATTCGTTTCATTGTCTAAACTAAGCTCGTTTTGCTTGAAATATTTCCATTATATAATAATCGAGTGGATATTTTTAGTAAAAAGCATTGTCCAGCTACATGGACGTGCAAGTTAATAAGTTAAAAACTGACGAGTTAACTTGAAGTAGTACTTTTTTAAATATAATTCAGAAACAAAAGTGTTTATCTATGAGCTATGAGTAATTAATAAAATTATTCAATTTAAACTTTAAGGGAGTTCTCAGGTATAAAATTTGATTTGTTAGTAATTTGTACTTAAGATTTTGGCAAAAATTCATCCAACCTACTGTGTTATAAATAGCATTGATTAAACAGAAAATAGATAAGTCATATTATTGTGATTTCTGTAATACAAATTATTTAGGATTAAAAACAATGAATACGATAATAAAAATAAAGTACCTAGAATAAATTGAACTGTTGGCATTTGCATGTTTATTTAAGCTATTAGATTTAATGCTAAATGAGTTTGAAAATAATTTCATAACTCCACAAAAAATGTCTTAAAAGTGTAGAGTACATATTTTTCAATTTAACCATTTTTCAGAACATATTTGATGATTAATAATATATTTATAAGTAATAATACAATTTGAAAATTTGACAATAAACAAAAATACTTAATAATTTATAATTTATTTTGAGGGTTTTTACTAGGTATTATTATATTGTATTTTTCAAATCCTTGTTGACAAACAATTACCTGTTTTTATTAATAAAAATTTAGTACAAATTATAAAATATAAAATTATTTTTAACGAAATATTTGTATTTTCTATTAAATAAAAATGTTTTTATTTTATTGTCAGAAAAAATAAAATTTAAGTTAGCCATTAGAGGTTGAATCTTGTATTAGTTCATTATGATAATTATTTGATATAGAAGAAATGGTCAGTTTTAGTTACTAAAATTCTCTTAAAATATGTAGGAATTGTTTAAAAAATTGCTTATATTATATTTATCTATATTTTTATACCTAAGTAGATTTAAAAACAAAAAAAAAAAAAAAAATTGAGATACATTTAAACAAGTTTTATCAAAATATTTTTAATAAATTAAGTAAAAACTTTTTTAAATTCTTATATGCTCCAAAATATTTTGGAACTTAAAAAATTATTTCAAAAATGTATACATAATCTGTATGTTTTATTTTATTTTTTTGAATAGTTTATTAAAAAAAACCAACAAATATGTTATTGAAACCAGTTGAGTTTGAGCAACACTGGAATACATTACAAAAAACTGTTAAGAATATGCTATCATTAGATAGAGTTACAACGGAAGAATGGAGTAGAAGTTACAATGATATTTTCATTTTGTGTAATTCTTCCCCATTTACTAACGTTTATGCACTTTATGAGTCAACAAAGTTATTGCTAAAGGAACATGTACATGAACTATTATCTATTATTCAAACAGAAAGTAATGGAAATCAATTACAAAATTATTATTTTTATTGGCAGAAGTATAGTCAACGTATCAACAAATTAAATTCACTGTATAGGTATGTATTTTTTTATCTAACATTACAAATTAAAGCATAAATAACATATAATTACATTTTTAGGTACTTCAATAAAATTAATAAGAGAAAACTTAGAATGTGTCTTCAAACGTCCATATTTGATGTTATTGAAAGAATGGTTAAACCAGTTCTTATGGAGATTAGAGAACTGGGACTAAATATGTGGAAACACAATATGATTTTATTAATGGATCCTAGTATTTCCAAATTAGTATTTATTGAAATTAATAAACAAAGACATAACATATCTACAATATCTTCGGATACCATTACTGGTGTTATTAACTCATTAATTGAAGTCCAGATGCCCTGGAACAATCAATTAGAAGTAATTATTTATATTTTTTTGTCAAAATATAAGAAACATTCTTAAAATATGATTCAAATTAAAACAATTTTTTTAGTTTTATGAAAGTTATTTTGAGGAACCATTTTTGGAACTAATTAGAGAATACTTTCGACACGAAGCTGCAAAATTGCTACAAGAATTTACAGTTTGTGAATATTCGGTTAAAATATTGCAATACATTAAAGAAGAAGAAATTAGATTTAAAAAATATCTTCCTGATAGGTGAGAATTCAATAAATTGAAGCTGTAATGATATAAATAATAGTTTATATTTTATTCGCAGGCCCAGCACTTGTAACACAATACAAATTATGTGTTATCAACATTTTGTAATTGATCATTTTAATTTGATACAAGAGGAGTCAGTAACAATTATAAAAGAAGAACAATTTTGTAAAATGCAAAGTATTTATAAACTTTTAAACGAGGCTAATCATGGATTGAACAAAATAGCTGATATTTTTAGACAACACATTGAACAACATGGAAAATCCATTATTAAATCTCTAATAGAAAAACAAGTATAAATTAAATAAACATTTTTAAGTAAGAATTACATTAATTAACATGTATCATTGTTGACGTATATATAGGTATGTCTACATTATGTTGAGGCACTAATAGATTTTCATAAGACATATGAATCTATAGTTATAGATGTGTTCAATAATAATATTTTATTCATTGAAGCTCTTCGTAAAGCATTTACAATAATTGTTAACTATAAAATAGAAGAAAATCAACGATCAAAATCTCCAGAATATTTATCAAATTACTGTGAAATGTTATTGAAAAAGTTGTATAAAGGCATAAATAAGGTTGAATTTGAAAACAAACTACCACACTTAATTTTATTATTTAAATATTTAAATGATAAAGATATATTTAGAAATATTTATCAAAAACAGCTGGCAGTTCGATTAATACATCATCAAAACCACTGTATTGACATAGAAGAAGGAATGATAGTCAAATTTAAAGTAATTTAATCAAATATTTTTAAATTTATATGATGTTAATTAAGAGTTTGGTTTTTAGGAAGCCAATGATTACGAGTTTGCAAATAATTTACAGAAAATGTTAATTGATATCAGAGTATCAGACAGATTAAATACGCAATTTCATAATGAATTTCTTAAAACAGCTAATGATAAATTAAATGTCTCTTTTTTCTTTTTCTACATGTGTGTTAAAGAGTGATGTTTGGCCTTTGAATTTAACTACTGCATCATCATTTGTTTTACCTAAACAACTGATACCTTACACACAATATGTAAATATTTAAATGTATACATAGTTGATAAATAATATTTGTTAACACAAATTCATTTATTTTTATTAGTTTGAAGTGTTCTACAAAGAAAAATTTAAAGGACGGGCTTTAACATGGATTCACCATATATCTCGAAGTATGTTTACTTATTATGTTAAACTATTATTAAATAATTATAGTTTATTAAAAATTATTTGTTTATTTTATCAATAGGCGAGTTAATATTAAATTATTTAAAAAAAACGTATATAGTTAAACTACATATGTTTCAAATGTCGATATTGTTACTATTTGAAGACTATGATACATTGAAATACTCTGATATTTACGATTTACTTCAAGTGAACAATGATGAATTTAAAAAACATATTGATAGTTTAGTAAATTGTAAATTATTATTGCTTGATGGTGATGTAAGTAAACTAATTATAATTTTTATTATCTCTTACACTATTAATAATTTATTTATTTATTATTTTAAGTTTATTAAATTGAACATGATGTTTGCCAATAAACATACAACATTCCATGTAAAATTAAATAACCAAAAAGACAGACAACAAGAGATTGAACAGACTGTTAAAACCACTGAAGATTATCGTAAACTACAGTTACAGGCCACTATTATCCGAATAATGAAAGCGCGTAAGACATTGAGACATAAACTACTTGTGAATGAGGTAAGTTAATCATTGTTATATAATATAACTATAAAATGAATAGTTTAATGTAGAATATATGAAAGTATATGATACAGTACTATTCGACGCTTATTGGTTTTAATAGTCTATCATATTCAAAGAGGTTGGTACACCTATAAAAAGGCATATGAAAAAATTCTTTTATTAAATTCGATGCTATTTTTTTTAAATGAATAACCATTGTTTAATAAGATTATAGGGTCAATGTATATTGTTAAGGGAATATTTTCACAGTTTTTTTCTAGATTTTATCAATACATATTATGATTATTATGTATATTAATCCTGTTTCTACAAATTTTTACATTGAAAAATATTAAATTTGAAAATAATTGTTTTAACATTATTTTAAATCTTTATTCACAAAACAATATTTTTGAAAAAAAAAAATTTGCTAGTTTTGTTGTTATCAATTCTCATGGTTTTTTTTAAATAAATGACCAGTGTATTTTTTAAATTATTGAAATGAGTGACACTAATTTGTTATGATTAACTTATATTGCAATATCAATAATTTAGTGCCTTGACACTTGTAGTAAGCCACGGAACTACGTACTTACCATAATTTTTTACGTGTGAATAGTTGTTTTAAAACATTTTTAATGTTCATCATACAAATAAAATCGTAAAATATTTTGCCTTTGTTGTGAGTTGATAATTTATTTTTTATGCTTGTTATCTGTTTACTCAATAAATCTATTCAAGCTAAACTATCTTTATATATTATTATCAATAAATTTAAAAAAAATACTTAAAATTATTTTTGAATTTTATATTTTCGATTTTATAATAAAATAATATAAAATATTTATTAATTAAAATTTAAAGTTTTTATTTTTGAACATAATATATGAAATATAAAAATATAACATAAATATGATATGTTTAAATACTATATTTGACTTATATTTTTAAATATTTATTAACCTATAATACAACTATTGATATTGGTTATGGTGGACAATTATAAGTAAAGTGGAGGACTTATAGCTCTAAAAAAGCACTAAATATGTAAACAATTGAGCACTTAAAAACCCTATTATATGCACTTAAAATATTATTTTTTGAGATTTAATTTAATCAATGATTTGTTTATAGATTTTATCTACCATTTACTTCTAGCATTAAGATCTATTTATATATTAATTATGAGGAGTGATCATGAAATAATTACTTACCATAATTGGCTATTTATTTTGAGAACATTTTTTTTTTATCACACAATTAAAATTCCTTAAAAAACACATTATAAATGACTGCATATATTTGAAATTTATACATTTTATATATTTAAATTTCATAAATAAATATATAACAGGAATATTTAATAGTATTTAGGTAGCTAACTATAATTTTTTTATTACAGTGAATATGTTTTTATTTATTATTGGATCCATAGAAACATTAACTTATTCGGTAAATGTACTCAAATTCTCTAATTTCAAAATGAATCCAATAAAAGATTATCATTGTGTATTATTATATATTATATTAATGTTTAATGTTATATTTCAGATATTTTCCCAGTCAAATTTATTTTTGCCCACTAACACACTTATAAAAGCGGCTATTGAGATACTCATTGATAAAAGATATCTTGAACGCAATAATGATGTTTACGATGAATATAATTATGTTGCATAACATTTTTAAAATACATTTTTACATTGTATTTATTTAAATTATAAATCATTATTACATGTAATTATTATTTCTTTTTTAATAGATTTTTTTTTATTGTATTTAATTTTTTTTTAGAACGTTTTTTGTTTTTTTTTTTTTTGAACCTTAAAGTGTTTACTATATTCAACTAATATTTTTATGTTAATTTTTATTGAAAAGAGTTAGTTTGTATTTTTACCAGATTTCCGTTGAAAATAAAAATTATCATTTATGAATTATTGTATTACAGTTTATGAATGAAACCATAAAGGTTAGAACAATCCTTAAAATGTAAGTCGGTTAAATTTTGACATTTCGGTAATAATAAAGGAACATTAAACTGCATGCTATGTATTAAAAATAAATTTATTAGGAAATTGTAAATATTGATTCAAATAATGTAAAAAATACAAATATATTGTATTTATGAAAAGCTTTCTAAAAATATTTATTATTTTTTTTTTTTTTTTTAGTTAATAGTCACTTAATGTTTTTCATTTTTTTACATATGTTGATTATGAGTTATTTGCTTAGTAAAAATGTTTTAAAATTGTATACAAGATCCTATTTCATTAGTATTTGTAATTCAAATTACTTTAAAGTTTAAAATTTGTATAATGCGCAATTTTTATATTTAAGACTTGAAAAAGTAATACAAATTTTTTCATAAGTAGTCTAAATTAGAATCAAAATATATTTATGAAATTACATATTTTATTTATAAATAAAGATATTCAATATTAATTGTTACGACTCATAAACATTATTTGTATAGACATACAAATTTTATGTATAATATTATATTTTATAAACATTAAATTGTTTTTTAACACAATGTTTTTGGACAAAGTTAATTATACATATTGTATTATCAGTAGTAAAATAAATAGACTTACCTAATAGTAATACAGAAAACTTAATCTGAAATAAACTTGTGATATAAGCTGGTAAACTTTCTTCACTCGGAATCATTATTTTTACAAAATGATATACCTACCATTAAATTTGAATTTAAGACATCCATGACACTGCACCACTTGTAGCTAATGTTAACTTAGTGTTACTCGTAATTATTTTTATTAGATTCACATATTTTAACTTTATAAAATACTAACAATAGATACATTTTAATTTTTAATAAATACATCAAGTCACAAGAATTTAAACAATTGTGTAAATTAAATTAAAGTATCAAGTCTTAACATAACCTCGTCAAAAGCTGCCAAATTTAATTCAGTATAATCAGTTTAAAATTTTAAAATTGAGTGTATTAATAATACTAGCAGAAAAAACTATAATGTGATGTCATTTAATTGAATGCTCACATTATATTTAAAATTCTAATGTAATCGAATCTCTGATTGTTTAACCATATTACTTAATATTGTTGCTATCTTAGAAATGCAACAGAATGTACTACATGGCCAATAGAGAATTATGGGAGTAATATTAAACCATAAATTACTGATTTAATTGAAGTAGAATCAGAGCAAAAAAAAATCTTCTATAAGAAGCATGGCTGATAGTACGACATATCCAAATAACAATGAAAATTTGATACATACAAGACAACCTTTTTATGTGCGTGACATCTACATTGTTTATTCCAAATTAATTGTATCTTACGAACTTGTCTGCAATAATGCTTATAAGGCAATAATCAAAAGCGTGATTTCACATTTCATATTTCATTATTTTCAATTTAATTTGTACAGGCATGTCTCATTTAATTTAAAATAAACACAAATTTTGATATTTTGTTATGCATATTTTCATGATCTAAGTGCATGAAGTCCTGAGGCTTAATTATAAGTTATAATTTATATCTTACAATGTAGGTAATTAAAATAAATTTTAATACTTGTATTTTATTCTATTAAATTGTAATTCATTTTAGAACTAGAACCATTTAAAATAATTATGTTTCTAAGTTATCTAGTTTTAATATAATGTTGACATACAAAACATTTTATCCATACTTATATACCAACTTTCTCATTTATATTCTCTCACATTGAAATTATATGTTAAAAAATTATTTATTTTATTATACATGAATGTGTTTTTAATGAATTGATTTTACCAACATTTGCAAACCCTATTTTTTTAAATAATTATTATTTATAATCAATGCTTTTTCCATTTTGCTTTTTTGGTAGAAAATTATTTGTTCTTATAAATATTTAATGTTATTTTAAAATAAACTAGCATAATGGTTGACCATTATCAATAAATCGCTTATAAAATCTACAGGTCTTTACAATCTTTAGAATAATTAAAGTAATTATATTTGTATTCATAATTTTCATTTTCACATTTCATAAAATATGTAACAACCGTAAAAATAAAATGTGTTAAAAGTAGAAAAAAAATTCCTAATCTAACTCATTGTAAGTATTTTATTAACAATTAAACAATGATCATAGTTGCATAAGCATTTTTTGTTTTGTTTTGTTTTTTAGTCCTTATAATTAAGAATATATTTTTGTGAGTTATGAATAGTGTAAAGAAAAGTGGCTTAACCTCTTTGTGCATTTATTTAAATAATGTTATACCATCAGAATGTATTTTAACATCATTAATTGTATACAGTAGTTGGTTTGTAGATTGTATAAGTATATGTGTGATCTCAATTTATTAATATAAAATATGTTCATAGTATCATTGAATAAAAATAAAGATGATTTGAAAAAGCATGTTATGGCTTAGAAATATGTTATAACATATTTTTTATACTGTGATAAAGTCAAATAGGTATGTAAATTTTTACAGCAATTTCCATATTGTTATGTCTCATTTTTGGTACATCTCTTACACTTCAGATGTCACCACAGTTTAGTCTTGCACTCCACTTAATGAAATTACAATTTTTTTCATGAAATGCAATAATATATAAAAATTCATAATGATATTGATTACAATTTATAAATAATTATTAAGTTTGAACTTTGTTTAATGCGTATAAAATTATTATGTATTCATATTATTATTTATAACTTTTTATTATTATGCTAAGTAAGTACCACCTATGCAACAAAAGGGTAAAAATGCATACTTTGCAGATAATGCAATCATCTTGTCTAGTCACCACAATCTAGATTTAGTTAAAAGAGGAATAAACAATAAACTAATTTTAATTAAAAATCAGTGAGATAAGTTAAATATTTTTAAATATACTTTTGTAGGTATATTAAAAAAAATTCCACAAGTTATTATTTAAATAATATTTTTCTATGTGAAAATACTTGTCAAGCAATGCCAATACAATCGCGACTATTCTGTTATAAAAAAAACCAATACAATGTTATGTGTTTTTGTTATATTTAGTATTTGATTAAAATGGAATATAATTATTGAAAAATAATATACTTTGAATATAAATCTCAAAATTATGAGACATTAAAGCAGCTTTAATTCAATCAATAATGTTAAATATGGTTATTAACTACAATTAATTCTATGTCTGTTCTTTAAGTACCTACAATTATTATTATGAATTACCTACTGTCCTTGACCCATGGGTACATAAATAGATAAATTACATGTTGAAGTTAGTGGTTTAGTGATAAACCTTTGTTTACAGCATAATCATAATTATTCTCACATAACTTAAAATTAACCCCCCCCCCCCTCAAAAAAAAGTTTTCTCGCTATGCCACTGTATAGGTACCTGTAAGTACCTACCTAATAGTATACTTATTGAAATTTTTAATTCATTATTATGATATTATGTAAGTAAATATTACATATTATATTATACACATTAGAAAATATAAATCAACAATACTTTTATTAAACACCCCCTTTGATGATTAAATATAATATTAATTAACATTATCGAGATTTTTTGTGTATATTTCTGAAATTCATTTAAAACTAGTGTTCATATAATGAGTAAAAATAGTAATATGTATATATATATATATATTATAATATATGGTTATCAAAGTAAAAATTAATTTGAATTCAATTACGTTGATATACCTTATTATTTTTTTAAATTTTATTTGTTCATTAGATATTCATTTTTTTTTTTTTTCGTTAATAGGTACTAAATTTGTACTTATAATTGATATTTTACGTATTACAATAGGAATATCTGTGTGTATATATATATTTAAATAAATCAGAAATGAATAAAGTTTAGGTTTGAAGGCTATAATAGTTTAAATAATTATTATTAATTGCTTTAAATTAAGAAAACTATGCAGTAGGTAAGTGTCGAATAACGATTTTACATTGTCTCAGTGGCAAGGTCACTATAGTCTATAATAGATACCTATATTAAATTTGAATCAAATTATAAATCGTTTTATAAGAAAAAGGAGGCGACCTAACTCTTTAGTATGGTTACCAACAAATTAGTTTAATAATTGTCGCGAGTGTCGTTTAGTTAATTTAACATAGTAGGTACCAACTCATTTTTATTTAAAAAATATTAGAATACAAAAAAAAAAAAATGGTATAGATATCTATTGTAACTTATGAGCAGTCATTATTAGATCGATTTAAATATTATTAATTATTCTATTATATATAACAAAAAATACAAAAAAATAATAGAATACATTACCTATAATATTATATTACAATATAGGTACAATATATTATATAATATATCTAGTATTTCTAATTAGCCGTTTATAAATCAACTTATGAATTAACAATACTATTATTAGATCAATTTAAATATCATATTCCACATATATCTATTTTTTCTAAATATAATCACAGTGTCCACCAATCACTAATCACATTGTTAAAACAAATCAATTCACTAACCAAGTCTGAATATTGTATAATATGTAATTAGAAGGAAAATAAAATAACAGACATTTAAACTTATACATTATTATAATGCTAGTGAGAGTATTTTAATGCATATTTATTATTTATAGTAAAATAACTAATAGATATACATACGAATCATTATTACTGTAAAGTTACACACACGTATATATTGATATATATATATATATATATATATAGAATATAGATAGGTTAATACACTTTCTATAACTCACAAGTTACAACCTATTACAATTAGGTAAGTACTTAGTTAACATGTAATCTTAATTTTTTGAAGTACGATTTATTAGGTACCTACAAACGTTTTTATTAGTACTTTGGAAGTTGAACAGTCTGAAAAAATGTTTTATTTGAACACTTAAGAACTGGAAAAAGCTAATCATTCCACAAATAGTAAGCTATTTGACAAGTCACTTTCTATATTGTTGCCAAATAGTATAACACGTTAAATGCTTTAAAATGATTCACGTTACTTATGCTCTGCTTATGGGTTAAGTATACAGGATGGCCGAAGTCTCCTTCAGTCCGAAGAAGTACGAAGTCAGTACGAATCTGTTGATCAGCTTGTTTCAAATATCAAAAAAATGTTGAGAAAAGCTCCATTCAGTGTGACGCAAGTAAACATACAATTAGAATAGATAGTAATAAATAATGATTATTTTTCAATTATAATTAATTAGATGTTTAAGCGCATATTTTAATATATTATTAATTATCATGTACTTACCTATATGTAGGTATATTTTTATAATCAGGGCCGGATTTAGAACAAGTGCCGCCCTAGGCCATTTTAAATATGCCGCCCCTATCCCAAGAAAAAAAAAAAAATGATGTTATTATTTCCAATAAATTTATTTCAATTTTAAATAAATTAGGTCAATAGTCATTATAAACAAAACAAATAATTCTAAATTCTAAATAGCAGTGTAAATGTTTAAATCTTATACCTATGTTATCTATAACATTTTACGACGAACTTTTTTAGTCGCGAAATCGTCGATAATATCATCATAATTTATACTTCGAAGCATCTCAGATTCTATATGTAGTATTGATGTCGCATTTAATCTATCTGACTCCAAAGTTGAACGAAGATGCGATTTTACTCTTTTTAATGCTGAAAATGACCGCTCTGCTGTACAATTTGTTGCAAACGTGCACAAATACATACGTAACGCTGTTGTGACGTTTGGGTAAATATCTATTAATTCATCTGTATACAACATCTGACAAAGTTCTTGAGCGCTTCTTTTTTTGTCCGATTTAAAAAAAAGATGATCACGCAAATGAAGACATTCATTTGTAAATGATTCTTCAATATCATTAGGATATTGTTCTATAAGTGCCCTAGTTTTTTTAAAAATAATTTCCTCGTCAAAACTACATATATTCGTAAGAAAATCAAACTTGACACATAAATCTTTATACGAACTGCCACGTCTTACAAGTTCAGCTTTCAATTTATCCAATATAACGAAGAATACATTTATTCTGAAATCTTCCTTGCCTGTTTCTGTTATCACTTCATTCATTGTTTCGTCGAATTGACGTTTTCTTTTAACAGTTCTCCGCTTGTCTTTTTTATACTGTATTTCACCGCATATTTGTATAGCTTTTCTTTCATATTCTTCAAAATTATTTCTAATTCTAGATATATACTGCTCTAAAGATCCATATAATTCAACGACCATTCCTAATTCAATATTAACTGATTGAAGTTTTTTATTAACTATATGAAACCTTTCTAATACTTCGTTCCAAAAAACAGCCATAAAGCACATTTCTATAGTATTTAAAGGTTTCAAAAGAACCAAAGCGTCAAATTTTGTTACAGGTTTTTCATTGGCATCGTCAATAATAGCCTGTAAAGCGTTTTTAATTTCACTCCAAGAAGTATATAAAGATTTACCCGCTTCGTATCTTGCTGACCATCGGGTTTGAGACAAACTTTTTACACACTTGGCCTTTTTTAAATTGTCGTAATATGCACTGCCCGACAATGACGAACAATAAACTGAAATGAAGTGTGGTCGTGTGTGATGTGGATACACAATATCTCTCGTCAATTTCTATATATATAATATTATTATCGTAATTACTTTTAGGAACAACTCATATTATATACCTAGGTATCTTATCTTTATAATTCACATTACAAGAAAATTGATTTCGTGTTATTGATATTTTAAGTGTCATGCACTCGTATATTTTACACACAGATATCTATACTACTAATATACTAATATATATTTCTGTCTTCTATATAAAAATCTGTGATTTTATATTACGATTACGATAAATACGATAGCTTATTAAGACGCAGGCCACAGAATTAACCAATGTGTCAAATTCATGGATTTACTTTTATGTTTTTTAAATACTTATATCAAATATTATATAATATTAATTTACGCAGACACGCAGTTACATAAATGCATAAAATATTCATATAATTTTTTTTTTATTTCTTACAAAATTTGCCGCCCCAAAAAAAATTGCCGCCCTAGGCCCGGGCCTCACGGGCCTAGGCGTAAATACGGCCCTGTTTATAATTTTTACCAAAGTTGGGCATCAATTATTTAAAAAGTTAAAGCTAAGTCAGAGAGTTAATTTTTTTTAACTTTTTAACTCGACTAGTTAGTTTATTTTCTAATCAACTTATGAACTTGAGGAGTTTAATTGACAGTTGAAATAACTTAGTTTTTTGCAGTTGATATTAGAAATTGTTTTAATAAAATAATGAATTAGAAATTGTATTGTTTTAATGTTTTATGACCTTTAATTGTTATATTATATGAAAAAATAATATTTGTTAAATTATTAATTTGAGATGTGTATATTTTAAATTAATAAATAATAATCATGTAAAGTACAATGGGTATTTACACTTTACAATGTACATTGTACACTATGATAAAAGTTCAATAAAATTGTTTTTATAATTTAGTAAATTAGTAAAAATGCTGTTCCTCCTTATGTTATTTACATACTAATTAAAAAAAAATAGATAAACTTTTTTTAAATTAAGTTAAGTTATTATTTTTTTTTTTTTTTTATTAAATGTTAACTTATCGAGTTAAATTTATAATTTGTTAACGATTAACTTCCAACTTATCCATTATGTACTCTTTTAACTTAACTAAACTTGAGTTAAATATTTTCATTAATTCGCGCACCTTTGATTTTTACTTTTAAGTGTTAGCCTGTTCCCTATAGTCAGTCTCGTGAGACGTGGCATCAACGGGGCCGGGCCGATTAGTAAATCTTGAACAACGTCTATCGGGTGATGTTTCGGTTGCCGACGAACGCCTTTTTTACTACCATCAGGAGTAGAACGATTGCGAACCAATGTTGTCTAATGTACATAGATAGTATTTCGACAATGTAGGAATTTTAAATGTAAACATATAATATTTTACAAGTAATTTCAGTTAAGTACATAAATAGAGAATATCCAACGTTCATATAAAATTAAATATCTATTAGAAAAAAAAATGATTAAATTACAATCAACTAATTGAATATTTAGTAATGAATTATTTTATGAAAACTATACAGAATAACAGGAAAAATAGAAAGTTAAAATGATTTAAAATAAATGCATTTATATTATACCTATATATATAATAAAAAAAATAAATATTTTTATTTGTTTGAAGAAAATCAATTTTCCCATAAAATATTTGTTTCGATTTTTATAAATACTATATAGTACAAGTTTTATATTTAATCATATTTTATTTAGATTATTGTTGTTGTGATATTATAGTGATATTTATTGTTAAGTCGCTACCTACTCATTTTTGTGACCATCCGGAAAATTGGCAATCGCAAAATTTATAGTACACCGTACGCGTCGCACAACTTGGCATTGTTATATTATAATATTGTGTATCTGTGTGGTTTTTTTTTGGGTAGATACATAAATCACATTATCTTTTGTTACACAGAGGTAGCTCATAATTGTGTTGCCAAAAAGATCTTCAACCTTGGTCCACACAAAATATAACGGTGTTTGTCGTTTACGCATCATTAGTACTTCAGGTAAGAAATTTGATTGGTCATTTGCGCATCGCGAAAATTAAAAATAAAAAGGTATACCTACCTACTATAGTGACATGACATGACCGGATGATACACCGATAGTTGCGATGTTACGATAATATTAATAACTGATGACTTATGAGTTATAAGTTTAAGAACCACAGTTGTAGATTCAAGCGGAAACAAATATTAAAATGAGTGAAGAGTCAATCCGTTTAAGAAACAAAGAAATAAAAAATATACAATTCGTAAACGAACATTATTTTAAGTATACAAGTGGGGAAATAAATCGACAACAATTTTTAAGTATAATGGGACACAGATTTAAACATATTTAGATTATATTTATATTTTAATAATTTTGTATTTGTTTTATAAATGTAAATAATGAGTAATTTATTAGCAATTTATAACGAATCTAATCTCATAAGATGATTAAATTATATGGTAGTATACGTTCAAAAGTATTAATTTTTTTTTTTTGTTTTTGAATATTGACGTTTATTTTTGTATACATTTATAGTTTTGTAATTATTGAAATCATAACTTACGTAATAATAATTAATAAAAATTGTTATGTTATATTGGAAAACAATCTAAGCCTTTTTTTAACAATAGCGATGCGCAAACGTCCTACGCCCAAATATAAGCATTTAACATCGTTGTACGTGAACGTATAGACAGTTCCGTAATAATTGTAGTTATCGTGAAACTCAGTACCGGATGTATGAGGCAGACAGGCCTGGAGGGACACTAGAACAATCCTGGTGGTCTGTTACAATAACAGATACTAAATAGCTTGATAATAATTTAGAAATCAAAAATAAAAGTAGGATTCATAGAATAACATAAGAATAAATATAATTATAATATATACCTAATGCATAAATAAGTATATAAATTATTTGCTCGTGTAATTTTAAATATCACAATTAGGGTTAGAATTTTAATGCCCTAAAAAATTTCAAAAAATGCTCTTAAAAAAAATGCAAAAATGACTAATAAAACTAAAAAATTGAACTAAAAAAATTTAAAACAATACTACAGTAGTGAATTTTTTTTTATTTATTAATAGTATTTGCCGTTGTTACTTGTTTAGTTCTGTTGTAATTCTATTTTCTTAATTATTCATTCTAAAATAATTTAAATAAAAATTGTTATCTTATTAGATATAGAATAAATCTATTGTAATTTCGTTCAATTCGATTAATCACCCTTGAACGTCTTTGATTTTCAAGTTCTAGTTTTCTTTTTCTATTTTTGCCCCACTAGCCATTTTAATTAAATGCTTTTAAAGCGAATGTTATACATATGACAAAATCTTAATGTTTAAATAAAACCGATTAAATGGGGCATATGACTAGATAGGAACAAGAAATGAACGATACAAAATGTATTATCGTATACTTGTATATTCATACATCGTACTTCAATTTAACATAAAATATTAAACAATATACAATATTATTAACGGTCATCGGATTAGGTTTTCTCCGAAAACTAATAAACTGATATTGACTTAGCAACTATTTTTGTTGCTTTTTCTTGTACTACCTACGTATAACTAGTTAACATAGTAATATCTAATAAAATTATAATAGTCTGTAAATATCGCAATTAAATATGTATTTAACTTTTTCTAAATTCCAAAAACTCATATCATGTATGGAATTTGTATCTATTAATCATTAGTCAATAGTCATTAGAATACATTAATTGTATTCCTATTAGCGTCCGTCCCACGGTCCTTAATATGAATCATAAGGATATTTACATTTAATTACTTTGTTTACGTCGCATTGTTTGTATATACCTAATTTATGAGTCATGACACTTATGACTATCAATGGCCGGTTACTATAACTTAATGTTCCCAGGGCCTTACCCGTTTGTGAATATTTACCTTTTTCGTGACTCGTTAGTCGTTTGCTCACTAAAGCATAACTTGAATAGTTAATAATACTTATAGATTGTTAATACTTGCGTTAATATCAACCAAGTATAGAACTCTTTTCTATAAAATTCTATCAAAATCAATAAAAAATTAAATAATATTAAAATAACTTATAATGTTGTTTTATATCGTTTTCCTTTATACTTTTACAGGCCTAGGGCTTTCAATGACATTTTTTTATTTCTCAAATATTTATTATTTCAAATTATTTATTACACCAGCAATAATAATTATAGAATATATAAATAATATAAAAAATATTAATAATATTATTTTGATAAATCATAAAGTAATAAATTATATTACTCTAAACTTGATAGTTTGTTTCTGTCAGTGCTTAGAGTACCTATAAAAAAAATACAAGTTTATTTTGGTAAATAAATGTTTAGTTTTGTTGAAAGTATTTTATTCTCAAATCTTATACATTGAGATATAATTTGTGATCATTGTTTAAATTTAAATACATTTTAAGCCGTCAAAACAACTAAATTATTTCATATAATGTTATTATTATATTTTATATTTAGTATATTTAATATAACATTTATACAGCTTATATATTTTCTAAGCCTATATAAATAATAGAAAAATAGAGATACTCCACATTTCTGAAAATCAGATCTAGTGGATAAATCGAGAAAGGTAAAAATAAAAATAAATTCTATTACTTTTCTAAATAGTTAGAAAAAATTTATTGAATTTCGTCGAATTCGCGAATATTAGCAAGTTATTTTGAAATTGAATATTTTTACATTTTTCATATTCATACCTAAGGTTTAAAAAAGTTATACTAGGTTCTTTATAAGCTTTTCAGCTGTTATTAAAAAAAAAAATTATTCTAAAAAGCCAAATTGATACATATTTTTACGATATATTCACCAGTGATAAATAATTATTTCTACTCAAATGACTTTTGTCATTTTTTTGTAATAATAGAAAACAAATAATTATATAGATACTTGAAATTTTCATAAAAATGTTTGTTCTCATTTTATATACCTTTTATATACGATAACAATTTCAAAATATTTTAAAACTTTTTGAGTTATTTATAAACAAATACCTCATACTCGTAAACTCTAGCGAATTATAGGATGTCTGTATTCGCAGAAAAATGCAAAGGTGGGCAATAATGAAAATTATTCACTCAACTTAAGTTAAACGAACATAATATCGATACGTTAAAAGTTAACTGTTAACAAACCATAAATTTAAATCGATAAGTTGAAATTTTATATGAAAAAAAATGTTAAATTAACTGTCTTAACTCAGTTTTAAAAAATTTAATTAATTTTTTTTTTTTTTAATTAGTATGTAAATAACATAAAGAGTGACTGCATTTTTTACTAATTTACTAAATTATAAAAACAATTTTATTGAACTTTTATCATAGTGTACATTATAAATTATAAATACCCATTGTACCTTATATATGATTACTATTTATTAATTTAAACTATTCACATCTCAAATTAATAATTTAGCGAATATTATTTTTTTAACATAATATAGCAATATTGAAGGTCAAATAACACTAAAACAATACAATTTTTAATTTATAATTCTATTAAAAAAAATGTCTTATATCAACTGCAAAAAGCTATGTTATTTCCACTGTCAATAAAACTATTTAAGTTCATAAGTCGATTAGAAAACAAACTAACTAGTTACTGGCCACGCCTTTGGCAAAAATTAATATGAATAAATGATAAATGATAATATGTATTGTCTTGCCGATTGTTTTTCGACTATGTCCGTTTTTATCGGTCGCTACTTGCTGTCAACACGGTAGTCTGATCAAACACTTAAACTCGTTTGACGCAATAAAATTTTGTATTTATTTCTATTAAGAAGACGTTACACCCGCACGTATTGTCTCCGTCTTACACACATATGACATGGTAATTTTTGTTCACCAGTTTCAATTGTGTGCTTTTCAAATATTTATATTTTTCATACTCATAACTCACTTAAAAATTAAAATATCGTAAAAAAATCGACGAAAGAACACAGATAATTTTCTTACTTAAAAGTCTGAGCATAGGTCAACTCAATCTAAAATCAAAACTAAAAGCACACTATTGAAACCGGTGAACGAAAATTTACCATGTCGCACGTGTGTAGGACGGAGACAGCGCACGTGCGGTTGCGACGTCTTTTGAAAAAGTGCAGACTTATTATAATTTTATTTATATAATGTCGTTTTAGAACTACGGTAATAATATGAGTAAACGAGGTTATTTGGATTTCACTTATTGTGATACATATTTGATTATTTTTAGTACATTTTTTGTTACTGAATAAATATTTTATTGTGTATAGTGATATTTTGTTTAATATTCATAATAGTTTACCATACGATGCGATAAGACGTAGGTATTCGGTCGTCGTGACCGTCATTCGTCCATCGTCAACGTCAAACGCGTATTAAAGTTGTGTTATTTACAAAATCAATAAGACTAAACGATTTTGGTAAATTTATTCTGTGACCATTAATTTTTCTGTACAACATTTTTTGTATTTTATTATTAGTTATCATATTATAATATCATCATGTGTTATTGATATAATACGGCTAACCTTTATTTTATTAGTTTAATTATACTAATAAATTAGAGTTTGAACATAAATATTTATCTATTTGCTTAGATAATATACACACATATTTTTATCAGACTGACTCTTAATTTTACCCAAGATTACTCTTTCACCTCACCATAAATATATTATGAATCCGTGACTGTAATCAAGGGAAATGTTATTCACGAGCTATACTTTATTCAATGTCATTTTCGAATTATGTAGATTGACTTATAGATAATATTTGATATAGCATGAACCTAACAAACATTTTTATGGTTAAATATTACTGTAAAATATTTTACATAAATATGTCATGAGATATTCTGTGCTTGATAATATACGCTGACAAACTGACAACCGTCTACGCTAAGATTAGTTGAATTTAAATTCAACACAATATCTGTTACAGTGATTTACTCCACACCATACAACAAGGCGGTAACCACTTGTTCATATTTTTTCTTATTATTTTTACAAAAACTGAAATATGTGAGTACTCTTTAATAGCAAAAAGTTGTATATTTATGTATGCTAAGTCAGCATTTCCCAAACTGTGTCCACCGTCCATCACATTGAAAACACCAGTTATTTATTATACAAATAAAATTTATTTATCTATTTTTTTTTATTAATTCAATTTTTTATCTTAAAAATATGTGCATTTAGTTCAGAAAAGAAAGCAATAATATTATTATTGTTATCTATTACTATTTTTTATTTTTATTTAGGGGGTCCGGCAGAGAAAACATTTGAGAAACGCTGTACTAAGTATATTTCAATACTGTTTCTGTAGCATTACCGAAAAAAAAATCAAAAGAGATTGATCCTCAAAAACATACATGATAAGATAAACGTATTTAAATAAACACACAATTAATTTTTAGTATATTTATATTATGCAGAACTGACTTCATACGACGAATGCCCAGAAAAATTACTTTTGTAGTCTTGTCCATTATTTATCTGTAAAATTATTTCAAGCTCGCCCATGATAGCATACGTTTTCTACAGGTCTAGACAACCATGTTAAGTGTCATTATGTCTTAATGACATATTATTAATGCATGTGAGTTAGTACAGTCATGGAATATTCATCAATTTTGACATTCTGTATTTTCGTGATTCAGTGGTCTACAGTGTCTAAGTTGAGGTTTAGACTTGTCATTAGTGTGGCCGATTATACTATGACTACGAAGTAATTATTCTGCTCAAGTGATAGAAGCAGTGTTTATTCCAGACCTTCAAACTCCAGAGGGGGGAAGAGTGTCGTACATTTTTAAGGGGATATAATAAATAATAGCGAATAATGAAGGGAAGTAAAAATAAATCTAAATTGCATACAAAATTATTTTTGTAGTTTTTGTTCACATAAGAAGTGACCATAATTAATGAGTAATAGCTAATACAACTTAAAATCGATTTAAAAGTCATTTTTATTGACATTAGATAAATATTTAATTTAGATATCTACAAATACATAGGAACATATTTAAAAATAAAATAAAAATAATTTAAGTAAATTCTTTACATTAAAAAAAAAAAATCCTACTGAATTCGGTAGTATTATTAATATTTATACTACATAAATTATAGATTATTATTAGTGCACATTAATTGACTATTTAACATAAGTAAAGGCAGTTAAAAAAGTTATTTATATAACACATTCAAACCACTATCATAATATTTCTTTTGTATTATTGTTGGTTGATGTAATAAGTCTTACAGTTTTCCGGAGAAGTAAACATTTTTCCAGATGAGGAGAGGAGTAAATACCCCTCCAAGTCGCCCTTCCAGAAATAAACACTGGATGTAGGGCTGAAGGAACCTGAAGACAATAACATCTGCAATTGTACTGATCATTAATAATATATAGGTATAAACTGGCATTAATGCATAGATCAATAATATTTAAATCACTGACTAAAATAGAACAGATCGCAAATTATTCTGTGGACAAATGATGGGTAAGACGTCAGGTTTGAGTAAAATACTATTAAAAAATATTTCGGATTTCGAAATAAACATACTTCAAAGCTAATGAAAAATAGTGTTCCGAATAAAATATTTATTATAAATATAGGTAAGTATTCCAATTATGTTTTATTTTATAGACCTGAAAAAAAATATTATTGTCTTCGGGATAATATAAAATTTTAGCAAATGTTAATATACTCGTATATATATCATTTTTGTATTTTGTATTTAAAAAAATGATGATTTATTGTTTATAGCATGGCAATAAATATTAAATTATATCGAATGTTTAAACAAAGAGTTTCAATCTGAACATTATAAAACTGTACGAGTATTCCGAAATCGGAGTATAGCATTTAATTTCTTATAATGGAGTTTTAAGTAGGTATTCCAAATATTTAAGGTATTCGAAACGTCGCCCAAGTCTGGCCAGTCTGGGAGACAAATCTCTCAGGGTCGTCAAGAGACTTGTACGCGGGGACAAGACGTTTGTAAAACATGTTTGTACTATCAAGTGTTTAGTGCAATGAATATATAGGCAGCGCTAGATATTGGGGCGTAGTAGTTACTTCCTCCCTCCAAGTATACGACTACCGTATACGCGGTCATTGCCGTTCACTTCGTAGTCTCGACATCGGTAACACGCGCATTCGATGACATTCGTTAGTCAGCCGGAAAGCGCAACACATTTCGTCGGAAAACCATCAGATCAACAGTCGTCTGCACAAACCTCTCGGCGAATCACCTACAAATTTGGCCACGAGAGTGAACGACACCAGTTACATAGTTCAAGTAACAACGAACCATCGTCAGTTAACATACGGTCCGGTCTAAAGACGTCCCGTCAGTTTCACTTTTTCGTAATTACGTTACAAGACATATATTCACGATGAATGGCCAACAAAAAAAGCTCTACAAAATCGTATTGACTGGAGGTAAGGCTCTCACACGCTTATCGTATTATTCATATTTTGGTATTTAATATATTGAATTGTACTTAACGGGTTTCGTCGTACGAGTGCATGACTTAAAGGCGTTATCAAAGTGGATAGTTTCCGTGGTTTTTTCTTCAAAAATCAATGAATAATTATCAATTATTATTTAAATTTTATGTATTTTAAAGATTTTGAATTTGTGAAGTTGCCCTCTTCCCTCCTCAAAAAAGTTAGTAAATTATTACCCTTCCCAATCTTGTAGTTCAGATTACATTTGTCAGATAGAAAGGCTTAGAACTTAACTTGTAAATAATTATAATTTCAATCCAAGAATTTGTAAGTTGATTATATACTCTCCATAAGGATTTGGTCATATTAGAAGGGAATCGGCGGGAGGTACTCATTTGGTACCTATTGAAATGATGATTCATGTATAGTATTCTGGGATGTGAATTTTTTAAGTTTAGTGTACGTAAAACGCATTTACAACTGCTCCTTGAAATATAAACTAAATATATTATATTTAAGTTATTTTTCGCGTTTACTACATATCGTTTTTAAATGCAGTATATTATAGTCCTATGTTAAAACATTTTTGTTCGTATACTAACCTACAGTCTATCCTGGAGCTACTCAGCTATCATTTAAACGTACAAATAACAGATTTACCTACCTACTTATTGTTACATTTTAAAGGTATTCAATAATAGGTTTTTAATGTGTATACATCATTTTGTCATTTTTGGTTATAAAAAGCAGCTTATACTGAGAATAACAATACGTATTGTTATAAATAATATAAAAGGATTTTTGGACGTTGTCCTTTTTGGCCAAAAACAACCTTTCTGCTTTCAATTTTCCCAGAATTTTGTTGTTGTACGATTTTCGTTTCGCCAAGACCAGTTTAGATCAATATACAATTAAGTTGGCATTGGTTCTCAGTCAAATTTTGTCGTACATTATTTATAATATTTATTAGCATTATTTAACGGACGCTAATAAAAATATGCAAATTTATTAATTATTGAAACTTAAAAGGCAAAAACACAATCAAAAACAAATGACACACGGTACCATTACCTGTCAAACGAAATTACTCTATGAATTCATTAAAATATGTGTAATAACCTTAATGATGACGAGTAGATCTTAATAAATATGTTTTCCACAAATTAAAAACCTTTTTTTTATTGCATGACGTATAGTTATTTATTTTACGTTTTTTTTTTTAATAATGCGTTTATTTTGTGTCGTATTACTCGTACTTAAACTATACGCGCTAAGCCTACGATCACTTTAATCCGGCGTACACTCTAGGAATGTCGATAACGACTGTAATAAAGGTCAAACACAGTTTTAGTCGAAAATAGGTAGATAGGTACCGTAATGAGATCCGCGTGACCAGGGGCACTATTTCAGATTTTTTGTTGTGTGCGAGGTTTAAAGCAGGCCATTTTGAAAATTCACCATGTCATATTTAAAAATAGATATACGTGTATAGGTACATTATCCCGATTTTAATTATTTCTATACATTACATGGATCAAATCATTGCGTCAATATAAATAGTAAAAATCAATTTAACAACTAAAATATAATAAATAATTAACAATCATAATAATTGATAGTATACCAGTATTGATAAATTTCATTTTAAAAATGAAAATACAATTTAAGAAGATTTAATTTTGAGTATTATCTTAGCGGGACGCAGCCAATTGGTACTATTTTAAAAGTAAAGAATGCAACCGCACACTGATCGCCCCTCCTCCAAATGACGCCCCAGCGCGTGACGCCCATTCGCCGTTGGCTCTGAGCGTACGGCCGACCGTCACACACAAGTACACAACATCTTTTTGCCAAACTACGACAGCATATTTTTATTATGTTCATACACTCAGTCGTCTAAAGTGTAAGACAAATGTGAAATGATGAAATGAGTGTACACGCGAAAATGAATTAAATTGTATTATAAAAAATTATTGTAAGCTTATAGTTATAAAACGATCTAAAAATAGTCTGGGCTATATCCCTAAGAAATTCATGTACTCAATGATAACCGAAGTAGCGAAAAACAATAATTTTTATATTACATAATTTACTTTTTAAAATTCAATAGGTTGTAGCGTACTGTTTTGAAATCCATTACAGTCAAATTTGCTTATTACGATGCCGTATATAACGATATTCCGGGTAAAACGATTTCAAGCTATGTATTTGGTTGGTTTTATATTTTATGTGTAGTTACTTTTTCTAATGCGGATATAACGAAGTTCGGTTATAACGATCATATTCTCTAGGTCTCTCGAAGATCGTTATAAGTGAATTTAACTGTATCAATTTAATAAATATAAATTATAGTGGCCAAATTAATGTTAGATCTACTTGTATCATTAATATAATTTAATGGAATAATAGAATTAAATATCTTTCAAAATGTTGTTATGTTAATTACCTGCAAATTTTTGTCTTTAATAGGTACAAATAACTGTGTAACTATTTATATTTTTTAACGACGTATATAATAGTGTGCAATTTCATTAACACTTTCATTAATAGCCAAATTTAATTTAAACAATATATGATATGAGTATGACTGCTGTTTTCGACCTGATTTTATTTTCTCTAAAGATGCTAAATTATACTCGGATGATTCTGAAATTTAGTTATAATTATAAGAAACGTTTGATCAATTAGTGTTATAAATTATAATACCTAATTAATACTGAAAGACTTAAACAACTATACTGTTTAAAATTTATTAATTGATTTTAACGAATAATATGAAATTAATATATGTACCTATATGTACCTTAAGTTTTTATTTCTACTTTTTGAACAGGTAATATAGTATAATATTCTTTAGTCAATAAATGTAAGTTGTTTAAAAATTTGAATTTTTCTTAAGAAAAACAAATAATAGTAATAAGAATAAAAATTATTTATTATTAAAAAAAAGCTATATAATTAATAAATAATATATTATAATATAGGTACTTAGTATTTTACCTCTTTAAACTTTATATATACTTGCTAATAATAATGAATTACTATGATTGTTTTCAAGTATTTCATAGGTAAATAATATTATTTATGTTATTATATAATTATTATAACTAGGGCCCGGATTTTTATGCAAATGCATATTCTTCTACATTTGACTTATAAAAATTCTGATTCAGAGCAGATTTAAATTATTATTGGTGAAAAAGTTCTGAATATTTATCACCTTTAGGGTCTAGTTATAAAAAAAGTTGAATGTATCGGTACTTAAATAAAACAAATCGTGTACCTATCTAAAATATTTAACTAAACATTATCAATTTAATTAGAAAATGTTGGTATTGATGAAGTATAAGCGAATCAAAAAATAAATAAATCTCGGTAAATTAGATTCATTATTATAATTTAATATTTTTCAACATCGATGAAATCTTATTTATAAATATTATTAGCTTTTTAGTTTTTTTAGCTTCATTCTTTTTAAAGTAAAAAACTTAATTATTTTTTCTATTATTTTCTAAATTTTACTACTATTTTTTAATCGTTGTGTTATCCATAATTTCAATCATTCGTGCAATGTTCTCATAATTTAATTTAAATACCATTAATTATTTATTACTATTATAAAACTAATACACTTGATATATATATGTGAATGTTAACATTTAATTTTTAATTAGGTAACCATACTAACCTTTATAATTTGTTAAATTTAGGGCCTTGTGGTGGAAAGACAACGGGACAATCAAAACTTTGTACATTCTTTGAGAATTTAGGATGGAAGGTAAATGTTAAAATTATTTTTTTAATTATTAAAATAATTAATTGAAATTGTATTTTTTATTTTTAGGTTTACAGAGTTCCAGAAACTGCCAATGTTCTATTAAGGTAATTATATTTATTTTTTATATAAATTTGAAAATATTTTTAAATAATAAATTAACATTTAAATTTAGTTTTTAGATATAAATACAAGTATTTACATATATATAAAAAATTAAAATGTCATATATTAATTGCAGTTTTTTACCCCCATCTAATACCATAACTCCTATTTAACTTTTAGTAGGTACTTATTCATTTTTAATAATATATTTCAATATTTTTCAACCCTAAAATAAATTATTTACGAAATCGAAGGCTGAATAATCAAACAATTAATTCTTTTTATTTAAAGGTGATTATAAGAATTAATTTTCAGAATTTCTATTAATATTTATGTTTGACAATAAATTAATTTTGATATTTCATTTTTGATATGTTTCATAAAACGTACTATATTAACAATTAAGTTGTAACATATACCAATACGATAACATACATCCTAGTTACAAAAATAATTACTTATTAATAATATAATATAATATTAAAAAACTTGAAAAAAAATGTTTAACCTTGTGTTCATAAACGACATTGGTACATCTTTTTACATATAATAATCATATTACTGTAATAGTAAACCATTTAATAATTAACTTTAAAAATTACTTTTTTTTTCAGCGGAGGTATCAAATTTTCGGAATTAACTGAAGATCAAGGTAATACATTTTAAAAGAATATATCAATTATATCCATTTCTGTTAAAAAAAAAAACTTTTTTTTTACCAACCATCAAATTTACTCGTTTTACTAAATTTTTTCACAAAACATGATTGTTTTTATTTTTATTCCATCATCTTTTTGCTATAAGTCATATTTCTTATATTTTTAAATTTATATTTCTATACTGTTAATAAAGTTAACACACCTCTTCTTTTTTGTGACTTCGAATTATTTATAAATCCCTAAACCTATTTAAGCTATTTAACCAACTATATCGTCTCATTAGAAATAAATAATAATTATTAACTTCATAATATTATATTTTTTTTTTTTTTTTATTACAGTCGATACATTTCAAAGTAATCTCCTCAAAAGTATGCTACGTATAGAACAAACGTATTTTGAGCTGGGAAAAACATGTGACCAAGACTGTTTAATTATTTGTGACAGAGGTGTTATGGATGCTGCTGCATGTAATTATACAAAACATATTTATTTGATATTATAATAATTATTATAAATATAAATAAAATTACTTATAAAAAGAGGAAAATAGTGTAATCAAAAATATAGATATTATTATAATGAATGATAGAAATATGAGATGCAATTGATAAAAAAAATTTGAACAATTAAATTACCAAATAATATTTTTTCAACATCTATTTCAATTATTTCTTGACTGTAATTTAATATTTTAGAGGGCTACAACTCGATTGTGTACATATATTTTGGCTACCTGTGACAAAAATGTCTAGTATTAGATTTCGTTTGTGCACACATTTTCCTTCTCACTTTAATAAGCTTAGGAGTTAGGACTGTTTGCTTCAAATAAGCGTGATTAAAAATGTGTGTGTGTGTGTTTTAAGCATATCGTTACATAAACCGCTATTCGTAATAATATCGTTATAGTATAGTCAATATAAAAATAAATTACATTTAATATGTAGTGTCATTGTAATTATTATTATTTGAAATTAAATTTGTATGATGGAATTTATTTCCAATACTTTTTATATAAGTTAAACGATCGATAGTTTTATTTTTATACTTATTCCAAATAGATTGTAAGTATTCTTCCTTACGCACAGTTTCCTTTCTTTAATAATTTATTACATTGTTTTATATTGAGTTTATTTAATATTTTTAAATCTGTTTCACTTTGAATTTGCATAAGTGTATCTGTTGCATCCACATAGTGAAACCACTCATTTCATGAATTGGATATCTAGATAGTGAAATTCGTTCAGATCGTGAATTTTGACGAAAATACATTATATGGACATCCATTTCATGAAATGGACAATACCTATATCGTATACTTTGTGTAATTATTATTTATTATATAATGGCTCATAAACTATCATTTTACATTTATACGTATATTATATTTTATTATATAAATAATTATATTCTAACAAAAATATTTTTATTTTATTTGTCACGATTGATTAAGACATTGACTGTTACAAAGCATACTTTTCCATATCAATAAAGATAATAATGCTTTATCCGTGATCTATATTATATGAGGCTATTAGAAAGATATCAAATTTAATTTCGGTAATTCCACATCTGATATCATATTAATGTTTCTTTTTCGGATATTCGGATAACAGTTGACGAATACCTATGTAACTCCTAAGTTGTTCAAAAAATAACATTTAGTGAGTGTTTGTGTATAACACAGTTACTATTGTGTTTGCAGTTTATACGTGTACCTATTTATTATTTCATACAGCAACTTTTAATAAAAATGGAAGAAAAGAACGTAGGTATTTTATGAAAAGCTAGATGAATATTATAAATTGAAATCTAAAAAAAAAACCGTTCCCTAAATATGCTCAATTACAGATGATTGCTGAAATAGAAATGGTTAAAATCAAAACGTAAGTAATAAGTAATATAAAGTGTTATAAAATATTCATGAAATTTACTATAATTACAATATTTAACTACCTATATTTCTCTATTGTTTTATTACCTAACAAAATAATTATTTGATTAACTTAAAAATACCTTTAACGGCTTAAACTTTACATAATTTTTTTCCTCATTAAAATAAAATAAAAATATTTTTATTAAAATATAATTATTTATATAATAAAATATAATATATGTATAAATGTATAATAATAGTTTATGAACCATTATATAATAAAATAATAATTACACAAAGTATACGATATAGGTATTGTCCATTTCATGAAATGAATGTCCATAATATAATGTATTTTCGCCAAAATTCACGATCTGGACGAATTTCACTATCTGGATATCCAGTTCATGAAATGAGTGGTTTCACTATGTGGATGCGACATATCAATGAATTGATGTATGTGTGGATGTGGTGTTGGTGTATACAATTGGCTATTGTAATGTTTATGAAAATTTTCTGTGCTATTCGTCGTCTTGGGATTACCATTTGGTTCACAAGCCTATAAGATTGGTGAAAAATTGCTGTTAAAATCAATTTAATTTTCTAAAATATAATCTGAGAATATAAAACTAACTGTATCAGGTGTTATGGGCATAAGATCTATAAAGACATCTGAAACTTCACGGAATGGTAAATAACTTATACATTTATAATTGGTAAGTGAATATATCGTTGTGCACAATAGCAAATCGTCGATTTTCAAGTAGAAAATTTTGAATGCGCGCAAACGAGTTGCAGCGTTTTAAAGTTTTACATAGGTATTTGTAGAAGGAAATAGGAAAGTAGAATGTATTTTTAATCAATAACTATTGATCAACATTCAATGAAAATATTACTTATCGATGAAATTATTATAGATATTTTATTATTTTTAATTCCATTTTTTTGACCGATAATTATTTTTGTGTGTTTGACCAATAAAATTAATTCGTAAAGAAATATGTCATTCAATTATTTGAAATGTTCTCGTTAAAAATAAAATTACATGACATGTGTTAAATTAATAAATAGACTTAAATAAATATTTATACACGTAAATGTATTTATTTTTTAGTCGTATTTAATGTATTATATATTCATAATAATTCTAAAAAGAGGTCAGTAGACCGGAAAATATGTCATTAAAATAGCTTTAAAAAAGTGATAACACTACTTTTTATCCAACACAGCAACACTTGTTTAAATTAAACAATATTGAAAAATTAACCATTTATTTGTACAGATATATCTAGTTATAAATGGAATCGGATAATGAAAAATAACGGCTGGAACGTGGTTGATATGAGAGACAATCGTTATGATCAAATAATTCACATGGTGTCCGCTGCATGTGGGGCTGGAGAGTTTTATAGCACCGAGGTAATGACCTCTAAAAACTCTTCCATTGTGTTTAACGTAGTTAATATTTAACGTTTGTTTCAGGATCATGCGAGTAGAAGTGAAGACTTGGATTTAGCTAAAAGTCTAGACGTCAAAACATCAACAGCATGGATTGGACACCCATACTTTGATGTCATTGATAATTCAACAGATTTTGAAAATAAAATACGCAGAATGATAGCTGTAAATATTAACACTAAATTAATTATTGATTGACTTCGAGAACGTTTTTATTCTTTTAAAATTATTTGAACAGGCCGTTTGTCAGAAATTGGGCATCAGCACTGATGATAGATTAGCTACAAATTCTAAAAAACGTAAATGGTTAGTGAAGCACTTGCCTAATGACGAGTTGTTTCCTCCATTTCAAGATTTTGAAGTTGAACACCACTACTTGCAGACGTATACAAAAAATATGCAATCTCGTTTACGTAAACGAGGACAAAAAGGTTATTTATTTATTTACAACCTGAGTAATTTTAACTTACATGATATGCTGACTGTGACTTGATTTTTTTTTGTTTATAGGCCATTGGAATTATACACATACACTTCGCAAGCCTAAGATCCAAGAACAAGTAATAGAAATTAAAATGCAGCTCACTCACAAAAGCTATGTAAATCTGTTGCCACTGAAAGATGAAACCCACAATCCTATCTATAAAAAAAGGCGATGTTTTATATACAACAATCAATATTTCCAGTTGGACATTTATCGTAAACCTTGTCATAAAAGGTACAGGACAAATAACTTTAAAAACGTCTTTGAATTATAATATTGGATATTCTGTATTGATTTAAAATTTATACTTTTATTTGGTTTTAGGTGTAAAGGGTTAATATTACTTGAGACGCATTCCGTTCTTGAAAATCAAGACCTTTTTGACCGTTTGCCAAAGTTCCTAGACATTGAAGCTGAAGTTACTGATAACGCAGCTTATTCTATGTTCAATTTATCGCTTGTTGAAGATTGGGAAAAATCAAAAAAATTTTGTCACTAGATAGGTATATATCTATCTAGTGATTATTTAAAAGTAATTTTAAGTTTAGAATTAAATTATTAAACCAACGAAGTTAGTTACTAATGTGGAAAATTAAGAAAATAAGTACTTTGATTTTACGTTTTTAGTACCTTGTATAGTATTATAATTTTGTTTTTAAGTATTTATTTATTATTATATTACCTATCTGTTATTTTTTTGTTATTATTACTTTTATTATTATTATTATTATTTATTTGTTATTATTACTTTTATTATTATTATTATTTTATGTTTTTTTGCTACCTATTTCTAATTATGCTGTATTACGCATTATTACTGTAGGTAGGTTGTTAATTTTACTTTTTTGATAAATATTATATTATATTTTTATAATTTACTATTTTAAATTATATATAAAAGTATGAAATATCATAAATGTTGTTGTTTGGCTATTTTTTATTATCTTTAAAAAAAATTGATTGATTGCATTATTTTGTGTTGTTAGATAGTTTAATGTCAGTATGATTACTAATTGCTCTATGTTTTTACAAGAATAGCAGTATGAAGAAACATAGTTCATTAAAAACATTAGATTTCATAAAAATTCTGAACTTGAAGAAAATGTATATTAAGACTTATAATAAACTTAATAAAAATGGTAAGTCATTCTTAGATAAAAATGTAGTAGGTACCTAATAAGTTAGTACTTCTAATGGTAACTAAGACTAGAATTACGTTCATAATAATTTGGAAAGTAATTAAAACACGCAAGTAAAAGAACTTGGCTTCCTGACTTTACCGATGAGTTCCAAATGATTGTAGAACACTTGGTATGATAACAAAAAAGAAAAATATTGATTGTATTGCATTGTTGTTACTTATTTAACAGTTTTATCCTCTACATGGAAAATATATTGGATATTCATAATTCATAGATATGCTTTTAGATATTGTTAAGACTGAGAAACAATTTTAAAAAAAAAATCTAAAAGTATCAGACTAATACTAGAAACAATAGAACAATGATTATGGTTTTTATATGATTATCAGGGCTCGTGAGTTCATGCATTTGCATATCAATCTTGCTAATAGTCGTATTTAATACTAAGTAACATAGAAATCCATTTCAAGGTACTGTGGTTGAGTATGTGAAGTTTTATTTTGCATATTTATGCATATTAAGAAGTTTTTTACTATTTAGCATATTTATGCGTTTTTCTATTTATTGTGTATAATATTTATCGTATTTTTACCAAATTTTGATGAAAATGCAATAATTTATATTTTTATACTATATAAAATATATGAAAATTTTTGCAATGTAAAATTATTAATTTTTTGCTATTCTAAAAACTGCTTATAAATTCTTCTTCTTTTAATCTGCATTAGTTTTAGATTTTAGTACATATAAATGCATATATCTGAACTTTTTTTAGTGCATAAGTACATAATAATTAAGGTTTTTTAGGGCATAAACTCATGAGCCCTGGTTATAATATTATCATTATTATTATTATTATTCACTTGACACCTACCGTAGGTACATCAAAATGGTTAAATACTTTTTCTTCCCCTTTTTTTTTTTTGTACAGCGCCAATCATCGAAGACCAATTTACCATACAATCAATAATATAAGTAATATATTGTTGAATGTATTAATTTAACTGCATAATGACTAAACAATTATTGTTCTAGTTGTGCAGGCACTTCACGCTCCTTTATAAATTATAAAATACTCACATTATGAGGTTAATTGAAAAAAAAAGGTAAACGATGATAAGATTTTACTAGACATATATTATGTTACAAAGAACAAAACTGTGCATAAATATTAATTAATAATAATATAATTAACAACTGTTGAATACGTTTCTTCGACGGTCAACGCATTAGTACAATTGAATACTAATTATGACAAAAGTGTGCATACACGAATAAATAATAAATATTTAATATAATGAAAACGATCAGGTGAACGAAACTTGTTTAAAAACTGCTAGTAAGGTGGCTACCGAGTAAAATAAACTTAAAGTTGTTGTGACGACCACGAAGTTTTACACACCGTTGTCCATATCGGACGTCAATCGGCGGGTGGCAAAATAGATCAGATCGAGCTACTTTGTGTCAACACGCATAAAGGTCGACGGACTAGGCCGATATCACATCTAACGTGATAGAGAAAAGATCATAAAAATCTTAAGTGTAAAATGTCGCGAGTCGATCTGTTTGTTCAGTGAGCGCGAAAACGATACGAATTTGAAAGACAACTTGCGCAAACGGTCTTATTAATAATAACTCGACATTGTAAGTTGATGAACTAATGCTAACAGTATATAATATGACTAATAAAAACTTTTTCTGAATTTGTATTTGCAATAATGTTCTAAAAGCAACAATGAACGCCAAAATAATATTATTCTAGTCAATTTTCCTATACAGCATACTGGCGTGGGGAGGAGCGAGAAAAAATACTTTTAAAAATCTGAAAATAAATAAAACTATTAATGTAAGAATCATATTAAAAAAAAAAAAAACAGAAGGTTCAACAAATAATAATTATATATGTTTGGGCATTACTCTATCGGCCAGATTACTGCACTTCTGTACAAAAAAATAGCAATAATGTTCTCGACAAAAGAATTTCTCCTAATTAAATACAATAATCAAAGTAACACTCATCGTATAAGAGAATTTAGAGCATAATATGATATACCTGTTAAATAAACCAAAAATGCTTCTGGAAAATCTTTCGTTAATTATTTACCTATAGGTCCACTCTACTTTAATCAAATGCTGATTATCGATAAGAAAAACATCATATCTGAGAAGTATAATAGAAAAAAAAACAGTTTATAAGTGGCTTTACTCAGAATTAATTAATTAGTTTAAAATTACATGATTACATTTTATCATATTATGATTACTCAGCTGTGTTTAGCCTCGAGGCTCCTACAGTTTGAGCGGTCGGCCACGCGATGACTATACACCACCGAAAAGAATAAGCACTAATATTTACTAAGAATTACCTAATGAAAAAGGTGACCATACAAAAAGTTGTAAATATTTGAGCCGTACGTAAAGCATACGCGAAGCTTATAATATAATACGAGTAACACGTGAATACGTGGCAAAAATCAAATACAAATATATATATATGTTAAAATTCGACGAAATATCATCAACGACGACGACGTGTTTACAAAACAATTAATATTATGATAATTGATATTACAATCACTATCGTCGTGATGATAATAATAATAATAATAATAATAATAATAATTAATAATCCAACAAGCACGATAAAAAGAACAAAATCGTGGTAAAATAATTTGCATAGGTAATATATAAATAAAAGATATTAATATTTACGCGACTTCAGTTCCAAATATGTATATTGTTGATGGTCGGTAACGAATTGACGGCGACAGTCAGGCCACTGGTCAGCTATTTTTCAGGTGCACATTGGCATAACAATAATGAGCAAATAATATATCGATAATAATATTATGGTTGATATATATAAGTCGACGGCACTCAAAACACACCGACTGACCGGTACACCGCGGAGATCGCAAAGCACAATATTAATATTAATTCAGCGATGATCGGGACGACAACGCATCAATACAAAACGAAGACTGCGAGACACAATAAATATATATATTTAAGTTGCACGTAGTGCGGAAACCGCAACGTACGATATATATATATATATATATGAACAACACTCGGGTCGCAAGACGACAGACGCGAAACACTATAAGAGTTGTACTTTATTGGAAAGATGAAGACCACGAGACACACAATATATAATATATTATATTTATGTATAGGACTCGGAACGCGTACAAGTAAAAGGTACGATCGCACAGCACAGAAAACCCGATCTGACAAATGTCGGGTTTAACGCGATCGCACAGACTTATGCGGTATACGATAGACGAACCGATCCTGTAGTGGCAACGTGTTGACGAGTAACTAGTCAGTGTCGCACGGGCAACTGATTTTCCGCCTCTCAAGTGACTCCGATATTGCCGAAAATATTGCCCCGTAACGTGGCCGTTGATTCTATATTGGGCGAAGTAGGGCAGTATCAATCGTACTTAATCTTTACGGCTTTTTATATCTCCGTATATCTCATTGTGACGGCCGTCGATCTAGCAATCGGAGAATTAACGCCGGGCAATTGAACTTAAGATGTCATATTGTAGGGACTGTGACTCCAGGGAAGACGAATCACGAATAAGGCGATAATGTATCTATATATATTATATATAATTTCATAACGTCCGATAACTTGCGCGAACAGACTGTGTTAGTGTAATCTTTGTAAATTTGTTACGTTTTAAAAATTAATTATAATACACCTACCTATAACTTATATCATAGTTTTAAATCAATTTGTGTATATGTTACCTGCAAAGTGTTGAATCCGGTATTATATGGAAATCCTAAGTATTCTATAGAATACTAAAAATGAGCATGAAAAGTATAGAATATAATACAATGACTAGGTATTCTATAAATCACTTAACCTCAAGCAAGAAAAGTATATATATTTAATATAAAACTTAGATATGTACCTAGAGTACCTCTGCAATCGACGATTAATGTTTATCTTGACGATTATATGCTAACACACGCACACGTGTGCGATGTATTATCGTTAGATATTATTAGCTAATCATATTATTATGTTATTTTTGTATACGGGAAAATTTAATATACGTCTTTAAAAATATTATTTCTTTTCACTTTTGTAAAAGTGTTTATCGTATTAAGATACATTAAAATGTCTGAACGTTTTTACGCTGAACTAAAGAAAAGTTGAAAAAAGTCGAAAAATACTGTTAATTTATCGAATGATGAATTGAAAATGTCAATCTAAAAAATGCTCATGTGTAAAAAATAATATTTTATGTAGTTCTAAATTTCATGCATCGACTATATGCTGCAATAAATAAATAAAAATAAATAATAAACATATTTTAATTGAACACATTACCAGCTAATATAGTATAGGCGTTTTATAGAAATCTTAAGAACTGTATAGAATACCTAAGTATAATATAAATTACCATTAAAATGTAATACATTGCCAAATAGTTCAAGGAATTCTATAGAATTCCTAGAGAATTTATAGAGTGCCTAAATTGGCTATATTCACCACTTTGCCGGTAACATACACACACACATATATATATATATACAAAAATGTAACTCTCTATTCAATCATAAGCTATGCTTACAGGAGCAGTATATTTAAATGTATATGTATTTGTATGTACCTATGTTGTATTAATCATATATATTTAAAATAATAAAATAAAATATATATATGTGCGTGTGTGTGTGACTACAGTGGCGCCGATTTATAGAAATTTAAATGGAGCAAAATCAAAATATCCACACACTCACCACTGAGGATTTTAACGTGTATTATGTTAATATTATATTGCTTTAACATAGTATACATGAAGCGATCGCTTCAGTTCATTTATAGGTTCGGCGCCACTGGATGTGAGTATACATTTTTATTTTAATCACGTAATATACAATGTGTATTATTGATAAAATGAGCATAATAATTGCTATGAGTAGAAAAAACACGAGGATTTGATAAAAGAAGCCACCCCCGGGTGATGGCACTTTCAATAGAGTACATGTTTAATAAAAATATAATTGACGTGGGTAATGGGTAAGGGTTATTTATTACAGCAGATGCGTTCTTGCGCCGTATTGACAGATTTATTGAGGTTCGTAGAGATTACCCGCCGATGACCACGGGACGTTTACGAAACCCAGACAAGAGAAGTTTCGGGTTTTAACATCAAAGAACCAATTGTATATATAATATATAATTATGTCTTTGTATAGTTTGTATGCGCAAGATACTTAGTAGTTATTAATGTTATTATAGTAGTACCTAAAATATAATATAATAACATTCAAACTGCTTACTTACCACTGAGAGTAGACAGTGAAGTATATATCATTATATATAGTAGTCAGTGGCGTATTTAATGGATTTTTCGTCTATAGGCACTTTCCAATTCACCGCCTCCTCCCTCATCCTTCCTAAAATTATTTATAAGACACATTTAAATATACAACTTGTTATATTATAATATTATTTAAAAAAAGATGCATTATTAATAAAAATTAAATCGCATGTAATATATTTTTTTGCAATTTACAAATTAATTATACTTAAAACTTTAAATTTCTCAAAAAATAAGTAAAATTTGATTTCAAAAAATGATAAATACTTTTTATAATTTGTACCTAAAAAAAAAATCGTTAAAATTTGCTGCCCTTCAAATGTCATCGCTATAGGGCCGGACCTAAAGTCTCTGTTAGTAGTTTTATTATTTTAGTTTAGATTAATTTTTTTTACGACACACTTCGAAAAAGCGGACTGCACACTTCATATTTCGTATTACTAATAAATATAAAAATACGGTTTTTTTGGTCTTGGCACGACGCAAAAAAAAATAACATTTTCAAAATCATGGGGACTTTCTTTATTTTATGTAAATAAAATTAATAAATTTTGAGTAAAATTGAGTAATTTTTATTAATACGTTAAAAAAAAATCTTAAAATCTTAAAAATTTTTAAATATTCTTAGACCGTCAAAAAAAAAAAAAAATTAAAATTAATATTTTTTATCTATTTAATACTATTAATACACCTACATGAAAAAAAACAAAAAAAAAAAAAAAAAAATTATATTTTCCTGGTAAATAAAATGAAAAATTTCATTAAAAATAACGAAAAATAACCAAAGACGTACAATTTTCACGTAGATAAAAATAAATGTATGGTAATGAAATTTTATATTTGAGTTAAGGAATATATGGTAACAAAATTTTGATATTTTTTTTTTTTAATAAATTTTGAAATAAGACTTTTGAGTGCCTAAAATTACGTTTCAGATAACGCGTGAAAATACTCCGCACCGGCAAGTTGGTGACAGCAGATGACGCGCCAATACGTAATCTGCATAATAATTAATGATATTATTATGTCATACATATAATTCACAAGAGACAATTAAATTATAAAAATAAAATAAACAAATATAACAAAATAATTTATGAGTTTGTGTGTGTGTGTGTGTGTGTGTGTGTGTGTCGATTAGTGGCGACGGTGACAGTTAATTTAGGCCTATTTACAGATCATAAATCTATGCGTATATACAATTTTTACAATATATTACACATAAATGGATCTTGTGATGTATTTAGTGATATTTAGTAATTTTAAATCGGCTTCGAATTTATTTATTTTCTATATAGGTACGTGGCAATTCAATTCGAAGAACATAAGTACCAATAAATTGAAAAGTGATATAATTTTTAAAAAATAAAGTGATCGTTTACGCTTTATAAAAAGCGTCGAAGAAGACGCAAAGAAATATTAAAATAAACACTTTAAAATCCATTCTAAACATAGTCTGTATAACGCTATACTTGAAATAGTCGCATATAGAATTAATTTTAAATGGACTTTAACGTATTTATTTCAATAGTTCTTTGCGTTTCCTTTGAAGCTCTGCAATAGTGTTTTCTCTAATCACTATATCCCGTTTTTCGACATTGATTTGTTTTTTCAATTTATCTATTTGTTCTTCAAACTCGATCATCACTCTTGTATACATTCGTTCCTTGTCCAATATTTCATTTTTAATTTTGAATAATTGATCTACCAGTTGGTTATTTTTTTTTCTCTGTTGCCTAACAATAACAAAATACATTATTTTAGAAATTATCACGACACTAGTTTTTTAAATAAATTACTTTTAATTTTTGCTGAGACATGTCAATCTCGTTTAAAAGAACTGACAAAAATGATTCTGTCGATTCATCGACAGAACTTTCAACCGCACACAAACTATCTTTAAAAGTCTTTTCTTTGTTGTAAACATCGATAACTTCTTGGGCCAAATGCCATTCCCAATGTGCGTCTTTGTACTTCATCATGTTTGACATAATTGAAGCTCCCAAATCATCGAACATTTCATCCAATATCTTACAATATTTCTTAGAGATAGTGTATAATACATTTTTCTTTTGTTGTATTAACACTGAAAAATATCTAAAAAAAAAAAAAAAAAATGACAAAGATTTAAGTTTTTTTAATTTAAATGAGTATGGGCGTTTGGTTAATTTAATGTTCTCAAGTGAACTTTATGGGGAATTCAAATCTATTACAGGTATATCATCGCTTTATTAGCCTTATTAGTTTAATATTTTGATCGGCATCAAAATTCTAATTAAATTTAAATATCATTTACATTTTGTATGCTAAGAAAATAATTAAAAAAATTGTGTGAAATTAATGTCATGAACAAAAAACAGAAGAACATGCATACAAGGTCAATGTAAGTTGTGCGTACTTACTTTGGTAAGAAATATTGAGGATACTGATATGACAATATATTCATATACTTGGTCCCTGGTCGTTGTTGATGTAATTCATTCCAAAGAGAAGAAGATATAAAGCTATAACAACATTTTGGTGGTAATAATTCCATAGGCGAAATTGTTGAGACTTTCACTGCTGTTTCCAAATTGTCAGTCCGTTTTTCTATCTAAAATGCAAGTTTTGAAATGTGTATTATTAGAGATGTGATAAAATTATTTTATATGAACGGTATAAAAAAAAAATTAAGGTGCTATTTTTAGTTATAATTGTTATAAATAATATTTTTATTATTTATTATTATCATTTATAATTGACAATTTTATTGTAACATGTTTATTTAGCATTCATGTGTTAAAAGTAACTTAAATCAATTATACTATAATAATATTAATAATATAGATACAATGAGAAGTATATAAGTATTAATTACGTTTTTCGATTTATTTCTATTTAAAAATTTAACATAAAAACAAATAATATCCTAATACCTTTGTTTATTTTAACTTTTTAAAGATAAAATAAATTTTTCCACTATATTTCTGATAATAAATATAAATTACTTAGTACTCACAAGAAGTAAAAAATGTGGAACCAAAAAGTTAGTAGATATATTTATATGTTAATTGGCAGATAATGAGATAACTCAAGTCCTAATTTATTTTGAAATTTATTTGATATTTTAAGAATATAATTTATTATGAAATATGAATTGTAATTAAAATAATTTAAATTTAAATCATCTCTTGTCACTAGCTGGTATAATCATGTATGGGTACATGGCACGCATCATAAATAGATAATAAACTAAATAAACTAAATATTAATTTAGTGAATTAATTTAAAATAATTCTTGTATTTTGAATTTTATTTTACTTTTTTATTTTATGTTTTTTGACCTTTTAGCCATTTTTTAGTTAATTAATTTTAAAATGATTCGTACTTCATAATTAACTATGATTTTACAATCTGTGTTAAATTTCCGATAATTTAAGGTACTACAAGCATAGATATAATATATATTACAAGATTCTATACAGTATTATATTTATATAATATTAAGTATATAAAAAAAATACCATATTTTAACATATCTATGTAAAATTATTTAATTTTAAACAAGACTATAATTATAACTAACTAGAGACTATGTGTGATTAGCAAAATCTAATGACTCATTAAAAAAAAAAAAAATTAAAAATTAAAACTACTTAAAAAATAAATTAATAAAAAAATTATCGTAACCAAAATAAAAATAAATATGATTAATGAAAATATTATTTAATATATTTAACTAACTTATATTGTCTTAAAATATAAAGTTATATCGTCTTTAATAAAAAAATATTAGGTAGCTAGTAATACATTGTTATTACTTATTAAATTAGTATAATGTTTCAAGGTTTTTTTTCAAAAAAATATGAAAATGTATTTTAATCCTAAAAATCATTTGTTCATCAAAAAATTAATTTTTTTATTTAGATGTTCTATTCGATAAATTATTTCAAAAATGTCGAGTTGCTGTTTTAATTATAGTTGTTATATTATATCAGTAATTTAAAATATTTAAAGAAAAATCAAAAAATTAACCTGAAATAAAATATCATTTAATATAATAATTCTCAAAATATTATGGCTCTATAAATAAAAAAAATATATTATTTTCTATTACTGAATACAATTATTTTTATTTAATATTATGTATATGTAAATACTGAATTCACATTAAAAATATCATAATTATACTAGAATTTTAATGTTTTTACAGTATAGACTATAGGTAATATGTATATAGCTATTGTTTTAATAAATTTCTTGCTAATACAGTGATAATAATGAGTGAAAATAAAAAATTTTCTTTACATTTTGAAACCAGTTAATTGCTGGACGCAATTATACCTACTGCTTAAAGCTCTCATAAGTATTTTTGCCTAGTTACGATTGCAAAACGGTTCAAAATTCATATTACCTATGTTTTATAAAATTAACAATAACTCTAATTTACGTACCTATATTATTCTTTTAGGACAGTTGTAATTACAGTAAGTAGTTAACATTGTTAGTATCTACACTTTACATAATATTATGAATGATGAGAACAATTTAACTTACATGATTTGTTTCACATAAATTTGTGTTTAAAGTAAAACGACTTTCTTGTAAGTTTTATCGTGAATTAATTTGTCAGCTATTTACTAAATGGCGTGAACATATAGTGTATTAATTATAGGTTTTTTGTTTTATTTTTAATTTTTTTCTATACAAAACTATTTTTTCTTTAATTATAAAATCACGTGTAAAATAATAAAAATCAATAATTACGTGAAACTACTTTTAAATTGCCCACTCTTAAAATTTTATTTAGTACCCGTATTTAAGTAACTAAACTTTATTATTTACTTTTTTTTTAGACTTTCATTTTAAGCTATTTAATTTATTTAAATCTGAAAATAATTTAGGTACTATATTATATAGTTATAAGAGACACAAATACATATTCTTACCTGACATATTACAGATTTGATTAGTTTTTTCAATCTGGAAAGCAAGTTGATTTTATTGAATACTTCGAGACTACTCACACCGATAGCTTTCAAGTCGATCTATTTAATTAATTGCGTTTTTAAACATTGAATGGTTATTGGTTTTACTACCTATCGTATTAACAATCATTATAACGTCTTACCACGAGATATTCCAGTAACTTATCGATAAACGGATGAGCGCAATTTCTGACTACACATGTATTCGCTTCAGCCACCATTTCTTGTTGGACATCTTCGTACAGCGTTTTATAGAAATCGTAAAATTCGTTTCTCAGACATATCGATTGCCTCCTGTTCAAAACATTCCACACCTGTTTAGCATCCGACTCCTCGGACATCGATTCTTTCTGGGCATCCGATTTTACTTGTTCCACGCGCAAATTATACGGCACCGGTGTAGGTATCGGTTTACCATTACTATTTAACCATTGTGTATCCTTACCATCGCCCATCGAAATAGCTATGTAACCGAACACGCCACCGCCATTCGGTAAAGTGCGGATAGCTACGTAGGTCCGATTATCAGCAGACATCAAATTGTCAAATTCGGCAACGTCCATCTCCCGGTTCTCGGGTTCCTGAGTACCTACAAACTAATATCAACGTTATCTTTTAATAATTGTATTATTAGTAAGTATATTATACGACTATTGTAGGTATAATATATAGTGGGCAGTTTTGTAACGAACATACATATTCGAATACTATTAGAATACTTTTTTTCTGCTAGATTTTGTCAGTTTTGAAATAGTTGGAATTAAAAATTATAGATAATGAATAATAATTAATACAAACATAATAATTTATAATACATCAATATAATATATTCACGAATGGTTATTGCATTATACTTAATTTAATGAATAAAACTAATATTCATGATTTATAATTTGCCCAATTAATAAAAGAAAAACTTCTTGTTACAAATTTAAAATTATTTTTCTGGTTATAAAAATAGTATTTTTAGTGAATAAAAAAATAAAAATAAAAGTATTCAAATTACAAAAAAGTATTTAAGTAGTTTTATACTGATAGTGGGTATATAATATTAAAAAGGTGTATTTCCAGTGCATTATAACTACCATAGCTATATATATATTTACTTTTAATTTATATAAAAATACCCAATAAATGTAATAGGTTAGCAGTGACCTATATATTCTGGTGATGGGGTAGGTTGTAGGTAGTAAATATATAGGTCCTTTTTGCATATTATACGTGTACAATATACATATAAAATATGTTATAAATTGTGTTTAAAAATCGAGATCGTATAAATGATAAGCCCCGTGAAAAATCCAAGTCCACTTATATGTTTACGGTACACGCCACTGTATCATTAATGCCCGCAATACACATAAGTATAGGTACATAATGTTACACCGCACTTTACTTCATTATCGTCGCCGTCTTCCAAGGACGCGTCTTGATTCAACACGGACTTCAAATATTCGACGAGTTCGGTGTAAGATCGACAGGACGGTCTCTCGTTAAATGGAGTCCGCAGTTTGTTGTTCTCGATATCCATTAGCATTTGGCCCAGGGCCATATTCCGGATACGAGCCTCGTCCATGTCGTCGTGGAGATTTTCGAGTATCATAAACAACCATTCCTGCATGTAGATAATGCAAAATGTAAATTAGTGTCACTGTGTGTTAGTCTGTCTATGATTATGATACTATATTGCATTAAGTATTTGATTGTTTTGAACAGTTTATTTTAAAGAATATTACGTGGCAATGACTAATAAGGTAGTCCATCAATAATTTGTAATCGTATTCACCTTATACCTTGTTAAATCAATAACCAGTTTGATTTCAAATACGGTATTTTTATTAGGTACTAGAAAAACAAATTCGATCTACCTGTATAATTTTTTTTTCTTCCGATTCACCAATGCTGTTAAAAGCTTCCTCAAGTTGTGTTATATACACCAGAAGATCTTGGGAAAGAATATTGAATTTTTCGTCATCTATGAACGACATATTTAAAATTTTATGTTATAGACAAATCATGAGATTAAAATTTAAATTATTTTAATTTTAATTTTTTGATTTCTAGAATTTTAACTATGGTAACAAACTTACAAGCAAGTTGAAATTCTACATATATATATAGCCATGTATTATATGTAAAATATATTTTTCGTTAAATACTGATAAATTCTTAAAATTTTATCACAAGTACAATAGTCAATTTGGTGATATTGAACAACAACTTTGAGTAGATATATTGATAAATAGTAAATACCTATAAAATTTGGTATAAATTTATGGTTGAAACATTTTTCTCAACTCTCATAAAAAATGTTAAAATATGAACCAAATTACCTACCTAGTACTTCGACGATTTCGTACTGTTATAATAGCCGTGACATTAAATACTTGCCTTAATTTTTTTATCGAATGTTTACTTTTAAATAGACATTACAATATTGTAAACTAATATGTAAGCGCGAAAGTATACAATATATAAATTAAGTGTACTTATTACAGTTTAAAATCAAATTAAATTAAATTAAAGATTTTCAATAAGTTTTAACAAAAAATGTATAATTTAATTTTAAATATTGAATAAGTTGGTTATAACTTATATGTACTTAATATACCTATTTACCAGTTACATGTTGAGAAAATTTTAATTTATAAAATTTAATAGGTAGATACTATATATTTTTGAAGAAAAATATAATCAAATCAACCTACCCAAATAGTATAATGTTAAAATAAATGATATTAATTGCAATTCAAAATATATTTTGTATACACTGATGTATTGTTAAATTCAAATTTAACACATTTATCGCTGTGACCCACTCAATATCTACTATACGATAGAACGATACCTATTTTTACACCTTTTATACATTGAAATGCTGTCAAAAAGAAAACCATTACTATTTGAATAATAAAATGATACCATTAAAAGTGCTCCATAATGTTAACAGGACTTAGTAATCGCATGTGTTATCTCAATCTGACTAATGCATTTCTTACCAAAATATACGTTTAGTAATAATTCCAATTATTGGATGTTAAGTTTAAATATTAGAGTTAAATGACTTATTATCAAACTTAAAGGCAAGAACATCTGTATTTTATCGATAATAGTGTTTTGTAGAATCATAGATTGGAATTAGTTTCATCAATCTGTAAGCAATGTTTAAAGGTTTGATTAGGTACTACATGAAGTTGCTGTCAAACGGATACATGTCAATTAGTCGAAAACAATTGATCGCACTTTAATTGCTCGAAAATTTTTGATCAAAAAACAATTGCTCGTAAATGACAACTGATCGAAGGACAATTTTATTATTGTTCACAAACAACAAATTCATAATTTAATAATGGGATAACCCAAATAAGTAATAAGTAGGGCTGTGAATTTAATGCACTAAAAAAACTTTAAAAAAATGTACAAAAAATGTCAAAAAAATGACTTAAAAAATTAAAAAAGGCAAAAAATTCAAAAAATGCATAATACAAGTTTTATAAATAGATTTGTTATTACATAATTCAAATTATGCATTTCACAATCGCCAAAAAAAAAAAATAATGCACTTTCTTACAAATTCACAACCCTAGTAATAATTAATAAGTACATTATTATTTTGTGTGTTATTATTGTTTACGTGCATTTATGTGTGCTGTTGAGATACGTTTTGATAGTCACAGCATATATATATATATACATACGAGTACATATAGCTGGTATAATCAATAACGATTAATATTTAAGTATTATACATTTATTTTTATTACTTATAAACTGGTGTTTAATCCTATTATATTGTAAGTCACCCTATTTAACGATTCTTGTCTTAATATATAAATCTTGTATTTTTTTACCGTAATACGGTGCGATTTAATGTCGAGTCAATTGCTAGGTAAGAGCTCGACAGTGCAAGACAATATAATATCAATAAAATAATTTTTAGTTTTATAAGCAATTTCTCTTCGACCAATTATTGTCGTTTACGAGCAATTGTATTCCGATCAAAAGTTTTCGAGAAGTTGTCATGCGATCAATTGTTTTCGTTCAATTGACGGGATACCCTGTCAAACACCATCCGTGATCAGTAAAGTCATTTACTTTCAAAACTAATAAACTGTTTAATAGCCAGTGACCCAATCGTAAGTGTTTATTTGTACTTACCCAGAGGTGTTCCTAATAATTTTTTTGAGAGTATACAATATTATCAAATATAAACATTTAATACAATAAGAATATTTTTCTTATAGTTTATAGGAGTAAAGCCGGTAAAGAGCGTGTCAATAATATGGAAAAAATGTTAAACCAGATTATTAAGTACCTTACCCATCATATATATATATCACATAATATGGAACGATATAATGGTATAATATCGATTATGATTGAGAGCATACGCAGTATACCCATAATAATGAAAAAAAATCTTGAGAATATACAGCGTATATATATACTATGGGAACACCCTTGTTTGTACCTAGGTATACGTTTAAAATATAATATAATATAAACTTTTAAAATTAATTGTGCCAATACCGTAATGTAAAATACTAAAATGTAAAATAAATATATACCTAGGTACACCGTTTATATTTAGTTTAGTTCTTCCTTTTCATTTTAAAATCCACGCGTCTTGGTTTTAAGCCAAAGACTTAGGCTTTTATATATAATATATATATATATTTATTATACTAAAACAATAGGTAGTGCAATTTAAATGTTAAACGGTTAGAATTATTTTTTTAAATTATAAAAATTTAAAATTCTTGCTGTAATCTCTTTGTGTAATTACAATTGACTATTTACTTTTAAATTACTAATTAAAGATTATTATTTGTTGCAATGGAAATTGAATGGTTTAAGTATGAAGTACAAGGCTGATCAATCGAACATTTTTTAAACTTATTTCAGTGCTCATAAAGAAAACGCAGAAAAATTAAAAAATGTATGGTTATTTTTACGTAGGTAATATCATTTTGGATTCATGTATTATGTAGAATTTATTCAAACATTTATCTGTAATATATTTTATATTATGAAAAATAAAATGTTGATAAGTACTAAAATGAAACTTTGATTTTAATGTAATGAAAAATGTTTAATTTTTCATATAAGAACTTACTTTGTACAATATACATGTTACGGTGAATAATTTAAATGTGCGGTAAATGACGTAATTTACCTAAAAATTGGTAAATATTGTAAATTTGGACATTCCCCAGTTATTAACGTCAATTACCAGTTTAGTTGGAGAAAGATGTTTAATTAATTTATATCATTCAACAACGTTCAGTCATAATTGCTCATAACTCATAAGTGTATAGTGTATACCTACGCAACAAAGCTTCTCGTGTTAAAAATTGATAGTCGAGCGATAACCCTAGTAATAATACGAAATGGTTTATTAGTTTATTAGTTACTACTTACTAGTAAGTATTTCCGCAGTCAGTTTATATGCTGGTGAGTTGTGTGTGCAACGGCCGCGTAATTTATAATTATTTCTAGTATTTTTACTAAGAAGTAGTGTGATTCTTGAATTGTTTAAATAAAATTGTAATCAAGTTAAAGCGTTGTGGCTTTATTTAGTTATAGTATCAAAGTATGGAGTATCAAGAACAATTTAAAGTATCTACCTAGCAATTCGAAAAATTATAGGCAATAAAAAGAGAGGTGACAATAGGTACATTTTATTTTAGTTCTGAAGAATATACTTACATAATATTATAATAATAATAGATTCAAAAAGTAAAGGAGTTGAAAAATAGAACATACAAAAATATAATAACGAACAATAAGCTTCTGTATAAATATGATGTGAGAATTAGCGAAAAAGAAAAATTAATTAAACTTGTAGATACCTACCTAGTTGAAAATGTTAAATGACATAGGTATTTATTACGTCACAGTAGACGAGTTGTTTGAAGTTATTCAAACTACACATTTGGTAATTGGTAATAACTAATAGGGCATGGAAGTAGAAATAGAATAATACATAATAGCAACTGTGTTGAAAACAAAATATTGTAACGTGACAACGGAGACCGTTTAGCATACTTACTTAGACTTATGCAGTAATAATAATTGTCAAACAAAACAACCGATTTCAAAAAGAGGAGGAAATTCCGATTCGTCACTTGTTTAGATATAGTGTTTCGGTTCACAGAAAAATCAATTTTAGCGTTCTGACTCGTTGAAAGTTTAATGTTTTAAAAAATAATACTTGGAAACGTTATACAATTGAAAAATGACAAATCGCGCTTATCAGTTATTGTCTATTGCCAATCAGCAATAAAGTACTTAATACTTTTATCTACTATCCGTATAGTATAGTAGGTAGTATTAAGTAGAAATAGTTTATACAAAATATTTTATTTGCATGCTATAAAATACTATTCGATCGTAGTCAACAGTAGATAGTATCGCGTGGACGTTCGATCGGTAACTGTACTTTCTCTCTCTCTCTCTCTAAATCTGTTAAAAATATGAATTCAACTTCACTAAATTGGGTTAAAAACGCCCTAATAACGATGACGGTTCTCGAGCTGTGCTGTACTTAGTGTAGTTTCCAGACAGTGTTCTTTTCATTTTAAAAGTCCAAAGTGTGCTTTTGTGTCACGTGGTGAAATTCAAATCGTACGAACGTTAAGTTTCATATTCATATCATTTTTTTTCTTCATACTATTCACGTTCAAATATTCAAAGGCTCAAATTGGTAACCATCGTTCAGCACGGTAATTTTTTCTTTTTTTTTTAAAAAATGATTATCATATTCTTTTATTTAGATTTTTTTCATTATTTTATGTTCACGAGTGTGAGATGATAACTGTATTTAATCTGGTTAATTATTGTTGGTCTTCGTTACTTATTATAGTAGAACTAAGATTTTGATGAATTTTCCATTTTTTTTCTTTTAGTGCTATACATTTTTAACCAAAAATTAAATTATTTTTGTTCTATAACAATTTAAATGTTTAATTTTAACTTTGCATTATTTGTGTTTAATGCATTTTATTGCATTTTTAAGGTAATTTTTATGTTTATTATGTTAGTTTTGTATATTTAAACTCATTTTTGTTTATTTTAAGCTTTTTTTTATTATGTGTTGTATCTCAATTACCTACTCCAGTTCATTGATATTGAAAAATAGTATAGGTAATTAATTGTCAACTCAAATTTGAATATATTTGTTAAATTTACTTCTTAAAATACATTTTTATCTATTTTCAGTATTTTATATGATATAAAAATTAATAAAAAATAATTATTATTTCAAAATAAAAATTTTTAGCTGATCTAAATACATTTTTGATCATTTTTAGTTAATTTTTAAAGTTATTAGGTCATTTTTTTTAGTGTATTTTTGTTTATTTTTTAAAATCCTAATTGTACTATTAGCCTTTAGCTGCACTAATTGTGGTTAATACAAATTATATTTTTATTGCTAAAATTGCATACAACCCAGTGAAGGTCGCATGTGCTAAAAGCTTGCTAGAGATAATAGCCTCTCAGGTAGGGACTGACGAGCTTTCATTAAATTATATTATTTATTGTTATTTTTCATTTATTTATTTTATTGCTTTATTGGTACTATTATTTTATACTACAATTTATAGATCAATTTAATTAGGTATATAAATATTTTATACTGTTACACTTTGGATCTCATGTATTTTATTACATTTCAGATATCTTTATTATCATATTATTACAGTTTATTCATATTTTTGCTTAATATTGTTATTCCTTTAGTAAAATAATCATTTTATGTAACACAAGTATACATTGATTCTTTTTAAATACAGAGGCTGTGTGTACGAACAATGATAATTTTTTACAAATAAAAAAAAGTGTCTACCCAACGAATAACCAACCAATATGGAAAAAAACTGAAGTAAAAAATGCAAACAAATCAAGTGAAATACCTGATTATTGGAATCAGTACGAAAATGTTTAAAGTTCTAATTACTTGTTAATCATCAAAAATAAATTATTAGGTTGTTTAATATGCAAGTGCATAACTAATTTAGGATAATCACCTGATCAAAATGTATGTATTTCTAAACCATGGCAAGATTGTTCTATGATTTCAAATGGTAAATGATAATAATTATGTGACAAAAAATTCAAGTCTGAGAATAAAAATATTTAAACACAAAAAATCTGACACATCTCAAAGCAGTAAAAATATATAACAGTCTAGAAAAAAACAAATTGTAAATGCTTCAAAAATTCACATAAATCAAATATGCTAACTACTAAAAGAGTATTTAGAACCATTTATAAAATCATTAAAACTCAATAGACCATTCGTTGACTTAACAAATGAAGTAGATTTATAAGTCTTAAATGGTATAAATATGGGTAATATTTTACTTTCTAATAAAACATGTTCAGACATTGCACTTCATATAACATTGGAAATGAAAAAAAAACTATTTGCCACAAAATCATATCAACTAATATAAAAATTTCTATTGTAATTGATGAATCTACGACGCTTAGCAAATTAACATTAGTAGTTGTTAGATGAACATTTTTTGAAGAGTATCTAGGCGAACCTTATACATTTAATCTTGATTTAACACATCAGCTGAAACTATGACTAAATAATTACTTGATTGTTTACACAATTAAGAATTTTTATTAATACTTAGACTAGATTATATATAACATGTTTAGGTAATTGAAATTGTAATTTTAATAAGTGAATTATTTATTTTTTAGAGTTTTAACGCCTTAACAATATAACTAAATATTAATTTAACAACAAAAATAATAAGAATTAATCATTATAGACTACATTATAATAAATTAATAATCAGTACTTAAGTTAGGTTATTTATATCACAGTTTAGTAATTGAAATGTTATTTTAATACATGAATAAGTTTTAACCGTATAACTAAAAATTTAGTTATTGACAAAAATTTTTATTTTATTATACTAAATATACTAATAAAGATATATTTTTTTACATTTATTTTAAAATAATATACAGTATTATATGCAAATTATAAAAAAAAAATTTATAAACCTTAAAAATTTAAGTATTGAAATGTAGCTATTAATTAATAAATGTTTGAATATTTGACAAGAAAAAACATGATATAAATTACAAAATTTTTTTCATATTCTTTAAAGCCATTTTGGCAGCAGCAATCTTGGCTTTTTTTTTACTCTGACCAAATCCATATATATTCATAACTTTTTGGTTTACAGTTATCTGTAACTTTATCATAATTCCTAAGCCTTTATTCAATGATAGGTCAGCAGCATCAGGTTCACTGTAAAATAAAAACCAATATACGTTTATTATTAATCACATATCACATAACATTTTTTTTTTTAATGAAAGAAGATATTTTTTGGTGAAAAATGAAGCTTAGTATAGAGAGTGGATAAAAATTAGAAACTTCCCGATACTTTTAAAAATAATCGGATAAATAAATATAAACTGTAGAAGTTGCTTTAATTATGAGTGCAATCTTCTTTGAGTAGGTTTGGTAGTTATGGTTATTATGGATGTCTTGAATTCTAACCCAATTCTAAATTATTATGTACAATGAAAAACAATCCTGAATGTTTATTAGTCTATATTTTATTACATGTACATATTGATATTGGTAATTTATTTTTCTAAAAGTACTACAGAAGATTGAACTTACTTTTTCAAAAAACTTTAAAGGTATTTATTTTATAATAACAATTAAAAAATTATATCAAATATTACTATTTATTTTAACTGATACTAATTTATAAAACAATACTATGTACTATAAACATTGTAAAACATAACTACATGATAACTCAATTAGTATTTTTCTTTAAATATATTACTTCATAAAATTTGAATTAACTAAGTAAAAAAACCTAAAAATTTAATACAAGGTTTCACATAAGTTTTTGCTATAATAATTTAAAAATAATCATATTCAAATTTTTTTTATTCATAAAAACATTTAAATTTTAATATCCAGGATTTGAAAATGTAATTAAGATTTTTCGTAAGTTCACATGAGAATTTTAAACTATTTTTTAGGATCAGTTGACAGTCTACATTTATTATAAAGCCATTTCTCTGATTTTTTTTTTTTAAATTAATTTTAATTTGCCAAAAAAATTTGATAAAATAAAAAATATTAAAAATATTCTTCCTATGAATCTACAACTTAAAAAGTTGTTTTACTGTTATTTATATTAAAATGTAAATTGTACATGGACTATACTAATATAATTAATTAAAGTTTAATCTAATTACTCAGTACAAACCTGAATCTTGGTGATAATTTAGTTTCAAATAAAATACGTATAGGATTTTTCGGAATATTTGTACAAAATTCTTCTGCAAAAGTAAAATAATTTATGAATAATAATAATAAATAAAAAAAAGTAAACATATTTTATTATAAAAATTATTAAATCTTTATGGACAGTTATTAAATAATATATAAAGACTAACAAAGTACAATATTTTAGAAAACTTCAACTAAGTTAAATTGTGTTTTATGTTTTCAATTCAATTAATTTGAATTCAAAACATTCATATTATCATTACAAATATGTACAATTTGCAAAAAATATTAAAATTTAAATTTAAAATTTTTAAATGCTTAAGTCATACGCAGTACAAAAAAAAAAACATATTAAATAATTTTTATTAGCTTACTGATTTCATTTTCCAAAAATCTATAGCAAATAGTCCATACAAAATTTAAATCTCTATTACAATCCAGATAAATTGCACCAATTAATGCTTCAAACAAGTCTCCCAATGCTTTGGGTACATCAATAGATTCAGCTGCATAACAATCATCTTCTTCTATTAAATACAAAACCTGCAAGCATAATAAATAATACAAACATGTATTTTATATATTAAAATAATAGAATAAAATTTTACATCATGGCCAATTTTATGATTATTTTTTTGTTGATGTTTATAAAAACGATCTATTGCTTCACTCATATCTGGAGATTTAGCTAAGATAAATCTATGTAGTCCAATTCTTATGCTCAATGAAGAAAATGTTAAGTTGTTTACTAGTGAAGATCTGATATCTGTTATTTCACCAGGAGTTTTCTGATGACAATGTTCAATAATATAAGTTGTAATCAAGAAATCTGAAATAATATACAAATTCATTAAATTATTTTTGAAGTTCATTTAGAGACATTTTAAGAACTTAAACAGAATAAAACTTTTAGATTTTAAAAATTAATAAGAAATATATAAATTGTTATAATATAGAAAGCAAACAAAATCATTATATTAGAGAAATGATTTAGCAGAGTATTATAATCATACATAAGTAGATGTTCGTTTCGATATTTATAGTTTAATGTGCTAACAATTGTAAAACCAACTTATCATTCATTAATTATAGAACATCTCTAATTAAAATTATTAATTATAATCTAAGATAACTTATATTGTATAATTATACTTGATGATATCAAACAATTTTTATCGTATTTTATATTATGTATTGATTTGTATATAACATATGATAAAAAAAAAGAGTTTAAGCTCATATTGAAAACAATTGAAATTAATTTATAGATTTTTAATGATACTTCTCAATAATATGAGTCAAGTATATTGAAATATCAATATTAACATCAGTTATAAAAGTATCAATAAAACAAAAAATGTAATACTGAATTGGACACCAGGGCAATTAATTTGCCGACTATGTGTTACCCATTGTAATTGTGTTATTTAATAATTTAGATAATACCTAAGTTATTTACTCGCTGTTTAAGACATTTAGAAAGACAAAAGAATGTCTATTAAATGATTGTATATATTATATAATACTAATTATAACTAACCAAGTAAAGCATCTCCAAGAAATTCAAGTCTTTGATAACAGTCAATAGACCCGAAATGGTAGGTTGGATGGGTTAGAGCTTGCGCTAATAGATGTTTATTTTTAAATGAGTAACCAATTCTTTCTTCGAGTAGTTCATATCCAGGTAAAATATTTGCAAAATTTAAATCTTTGTATATGTTTTCGATTGGTTTAGGATTGAATGCATCAATGAATTGTTTAGGTATAATACCCAAACCATGGAGAACTTTGAAGCCTACTTCAACTCCTAATTTCTAAAATAAAAACAAATATTAGTTCAAAGAAATGTTTTAGGTATCCAAATTATTATTAATCATACTCACATTTACATATGTACCAATCAATGATTCTACACAATCGGCAACCATTTTATCTGAAACCGATTGATTGTGTAAAAATATATCAGATAATAAGCGATCCACGAGTTGTGAGTCATCTTTATCAGAAATACTAAATGCTGAAATTTGGTTGAACAACGAAATTTCATTTTCAATTTTGGTCAAAGTTTCATCTGATATTAATCCTAAAATTAAAATAAGAAATTATGTTAATGCAAAGATTTCTTTCATAAAATATGAAAAATATTCTCAAAACTAAAATAATATTCAGGCACATTATACATAAATATATATAATTTAATTTATAATATATATTTATTATACTTCCAATGGAGAGGAATGCATTACTGAGAATATACCTGAAGTAATATTAGGATATAATATACGAAGAGAAAACAACAAATGAGTGTAAGTGGAGAACAGAAAAAATTTAGTGTTAGAGTAAGTGTTAATCAGAATTCAGAATTGAATCCTTACTTTCTTTTTTTATTAATGAATAAAATTACATAAGATAAACAAGTTAAAGAGCATAATTTTTGCAGATAATATTGTATAATTGAGAAAAAACCTGGGAAAGAGATTGGCAAAGTTTTAAATACCACTTATATTGAAGAAACTAAGGATAGATAAGCAGAAATTAAACTTAAGTAATTGTGTATCATTTTGGAGAAAGCAATTGAGAAATTTATGGAGCAAGGCATGAATGAAGATGGGAGAGGGGATTTAGTGTGTGAATTACGAAGTAAATAGGTACTAAGAATATGTGGTACAAAACAATGGTGATAATTAGGATAATGTCAGAAATAGAATTTTGTGTAAATTAATGAAATTGAAAAAACATAAGATAAAGTACTTTGTATGCCAATAAATAAGTATACTTTTTTACCTAGGGATGAATAGAATAGAAACTAGCACGAAAATAATTAGTTCAAGTCAAGTTGAAGAGGTGAGGGCAGAGCCTTATGAAAGTGTAGGATAATGGTGATTGAACCCATACAGATGGGAGCACATAGAAAAGAAAAATGAAAAAATGTATTATACTGTTTATTTATAATACTTTAAACAAATTATTTTTGAAATTAAAAGTACATTTTATCTATTAAAAATTAATTAATAATTTTAAATATTTACCGATCATTTGATCATCTTTAGGAATGATTATCTGATGAATTATTTCAGATGAGCAATTTTTCTCCTTAATGATTTTCATAATTTGTTTAGGAACTCCAAAGCACGGAGGAATCCAATCCAAATTCAAGTCAAAAACATTTAACTAAATTTAAAGTAATATAAATATCAATTTTTATTTACAAATATTTAAGCTTTATGTTACCATTAAATAAGATTCAAGATTCAAATTCCTGCCAACATAAAACAAATTTCGATTCCCAACCAATTTCATAGTTAAGCTAGTAAGAACTCCTTCATTATCTGATGGAAACGCATCATAAAATACTAATGATACAGCAAATTTGAGGAAGCTATCTCCATATGTTTCCATGCGCTCATAATTAAACATGTCATTAGAAGATGGAAGTGTTAAAACCTAAACATAACAATTGACAAAATACATAAATAATTTAAAATTTTAATTGGCATAAAAAACAAAAGAACCAATATAAAGCACAATCAAAACTAGTGACAAAAAAGATATTTTATTTAAACAATGTAACTAAAGATTTTTATCTTTTAATCAAACTAAAATAAAGCTAATAACTAACAATTTTATTTTATTTAAACGATTCAAATAAAATGAAAGTTTAAAAAATGAATATATTTTAAGGGTACTTAAGTAATGATAAGTGCCCAATTCCCTTATATCATTGGTCAATAAAATTATTATTACTTTTAAAATATCACTCTGTTTAATCCCAATATTTTGTTTTGATGCTCCTTTAAACAGCGTACTCAATACAGGTGGAGAGTTGTTTGTTAAAATTAAAGGGTTCATCTCGGTCAACACATTTTTTAGTAAATCGTCTGTTTCCACCTAAAATAATTAATTTAATTTAATTCAATTTACTCTTTAAACAATGTAAATATTAAACTTTAGAAAAATCAATCATAATACATTAGTATAGTTATTTCTTTATAAAGTATTATAATACTTAAAAGATAATGTATTTCAAATAAAAAATGTTATAATGATCTTCAAAAATAATCTAAAAGTAACATTATTACAACAATTGTAATGGTAGGAAAATTGCTTGGTGATATTTAAAATTATTTTTTTATAATAATAAAATAATATAATATTTTCTAATAATAGAATGATATTATAAGATATTTCTAACCAACAAAAGAAAATGGTTGAAATACTAATTTTACAATAGACCTTGTCTAAACTGGAAGAATTTGATTGTTGATTCTTCTTAAATACAAATTTACTTCATTAATTAGCAATTAATACATATCAAAGATATTTGTAAGTTGAATAATTTTAAATTTTTACTCACAGTAACATTATCAGTATTCTCAGGTTTATTATTGTGCATAAACGAAAAATAATTTAGAACATCCAAAATTGTTGTATTTTTTTGCCTATCAATATCAATAGGTAAATTGTTTGAATCCCATCCATCAATCATATTATTTTCTCGAGCGTATCTCAATGTTTCACTAAATGCCATTATAGTATTTTTTTTTTTTTTTTCATTAAAACCACAAAAATTATCAATGCTCAGTTTATCTACTGCTTAAAAAAAAAAAAAAAATTAGAAAATAGAAAATCAACTAATGCAGTAATACATTCCACTTACCGTATGATTCATTGTCTTCTACCTCAATGTTACAAATAGAATTAATTTTTAAAAAAAGTTCTTCTGCCAGTAATAGTTTTTCTAATCGATATAATATAGTTGGCAGCATTAAACCTTTAAACCAATAAACTGATGGAAATTTATGCCAAGTACAAAATTCTGGTATAAGTTCTTCAATGCATTCATTTCGTTTATTATTTTGTTGAGTAAAAGTTCTGAAAACAAATACATAAATTATTATTTTATAATAAAATTCTTCAATTTTATACTACCTGGGAATTAAATAATTGGTTTTTGACACACTCAATGATTTTACTGTTATCAAAGGTTGATCATTGTGGGTAACATTTATATTATACTTGTCATTAAAATAATGTGCATAAGTATCATACTCAGAAGACGGAAAAGGACTTTCAGGTGTCATGTCCGAGTGAATGTCAATGATGACATATTTCTAAATATTAAAACACATGAAAACCAAACATGTATTATCAATAATTTTAAATATATAGATATGTTATTTGATTTAACAATAAAAATAAATTTTTTGATAGGTTTTATATGTGATATAAACGCCATAATATGTGTAATGACAGTTATAAATTAAACGTTGTTCAAGATATAATATTATAATCTATTTACTCATTGATAGGTTTTTGATATTTTCCATATTTTTAAAACAATGTGGAACAAAAAGAAAGATATATTTTTTACCTAGGTACCTGCCCTATGGTTTTCGTTTATTGGTTATTATTTTTGGAATTTTCAAATTGTGTTTATAAAAACTTTGTGAACAGTTTTGTCAATTGCAATTTGCAAGGTGCAAGAACAGTTCTCATACCATTCGACATTTACGTACACAGCCACATAGGACATCAACACGCTTCCCCAAATACTTTTGTCGCTGAATACGCTTATGCGATCAGCCTAGTAGAACCACAAAATAAATGAAACAATTTAAATAGAAACTGTTATGATATCCTAATCGTCATAAACCGCGCACTCGTTCACATCATGCACAAAGCAATTTTGGCCCGAATGGCAATTTTTAAAAACGGTCAAAATCGAATTCCCCGAGTAGGTCGTAGGTGTCTCCGGCGTGTTGTGTACCTACCTATGTCTTACGTGCGAACGAAATAGCAAATCTGCATTTGGCAAAACTGATGTTGTGTTATTAGCTCTAAAATTAAAATGAATAGACTTATGGTCAAATCTAGAGATAAGAATGTTATCTAGAGTGTCGCTAAGGTTTTTATTGATATTTAAATTTTATAACGAATTATAATAATTGTGTAAAACATGATATTATTACAATATTTACAAATTACAATATCTTATGACGACGAAGCGCGGAAAACAGGTACGTGGTGTACGCGATCATTTTATTATTGTCTAATTACCTATTTATAGCCGATATTTTATTTAAGTTATTATTGAAAATTTATTCTCAACTACCTACCGGTCGGAAGTCACGGCTCGAAATAATATTGTATTGAAAATTAATAAAAATAATAGTATTACCTCTACAGGTATTATGCTTCTGTACCACGGTGAAACTACGCTATACATATTGAGGTCTTCTTTATAAAATTTAGCTTTTCTCTGTTCTATTGTAGGATCTTCTGTTTCTACAAGTTTGTCTAAATTGATTACGTCCCAATCCAGTTTGTGAATATTATCTAAAACATGAAAATATTTATTTATATACTTATATGTATTTTATTATTTTATTGATATTCTTTAATCACGTGTGAAATATCAAACCTGTAGAAATTATTGGTACTACTAAGTATGAATTCTCTTGATTATCGTAGTTTCTTGCAAAACAACTCTTTACGCCCAATACATCCACAAATAATTTGTTATGGAAATTGGTCAGTTTTTTAAGATCTTCACTTGTCAGATGAAGAATTTCAACATTTACTTTTATGTTTATATTAACATTACCAAAAAGTAAAAATATGGGAAAATTTGATAACTGTATAAGTATAATATAAATAACATTGATTAATGATCAAATTAGTTAAAATAATAATGCTTATATTGAGGAATGGATTTATACATAATTTGGATTTTAGATTCTAAGAAAAAGTAAAGAGTGTATTAATATTGTTCTTTCTTTTAGAATGTTAAGTAGGTATCTATTACACATATTTAATTACAGTTTCAGTAGACAATAAATACTAAGCAATATTCATTATAACATATGCATTAATCTTAACCTTTTTTAAAGTATGAATAAAAATAATATTCTAATAAGTACCTAGTCAATTTAATTTCTTTATTTACATACATTTTTTACAATGAAGATTTAAATAGTTGAATGACTATAAAATATTTTATAACTTTATCTATTTAAAATGGTTTTGAAAAAATCGTAATTGAAATAAAATAACTTGATTAAGTGGAAATATTTAATAAATAGTGTTATTTTAAATTATTATTCATAAGATATGTTGGTTGATGAGGTTTTTTAACTTCAATAAATAAACTGATGAAGAAAGGTATTACTGCTACAATGTTGTTGACAGCATTATACCACTAACTATAAAATTTTATTAGCTGATTGTTGAGCCAAAGTATATGATAATGGATATATGTGTAATATGAGTGGGAAAATTATAGGTCTAACACCAAGTAGGTACATATTCAAAAAAAAAATTATAATTGCTTTTTTTTTTAACTGTGCAGCGCTTATTTCCTTAATATACCAATAGTGTAAACGCAGTAAAGATAAATTGACATATTACATTATTTTTGGATATTCAGTAAAAAACTTGTTTGAAAATTTTAGTAACAATGTAATAAAATTGATTAACTTTCTCAAAAACTATTTAAATTATTTTACAGCCGTGATTATGTATTAGGTAGTACATTTTCCTAATATTTAAAATTCATTGAACTTATACAGTGAAATATTATATTTAAAAAAATATTACCATAGAATATAACCAAGTATTAACTCGCAAAATATTGGTACATTACTTTGCACATTAAAATGTTAAATGCTTATTTACTAATTGTCTGATATTTGATATTTATGTAATGAAATAATTTGAATAATATTCTGATTCAAAATACAAAATTAAAAATATAAGTTGTATTACATAGCAATAAAAAACTAAAAAATTTATGTTAAATTAACTTTCTTAAATTTATCTTACCAAAATAATAGTATCAAACATATATATATAGTTGTTTATGCATCCGAAGAGAATTAACCATTTTAATTTTTTTTCATAAATGTATATTTAATATGTATGTACCACTTCTCAAAAACTAATCTAAAGTCTATATTTAAAAGTAACCTAGCAAAAAAAAAATTATTTAATAAAATATCATCCTTTGTAAGAATAAAATGCAAAATACACGTATGATATATATTTAAAGAAATTTTGCTTGATTTAATATAACTTTGTGTAAATATTTTATTTTGTATTTATAATAATTTAGTTGTCTATTTACCTATTGTTGTTTTAAAAGCATTCAGTTTTATTTCTAAAATACAAAAATAAATTGTTAGTTGACATACTTGTGGCAATTTGTTTGATGTTAAAATTCCATACTCTTTATTTAACTTTATTAATTTATCAAATACTTTGAAATTATCACCTTTCACTTGTACATAATCAGGAGTACAGTGCACAACATGTAAATATGATGGACTATTTTCTATTGGATATGATTCATGTAAGTATGCTGTATTCTATTTAAAATGTTTATAATTTTATTAACCAAACATATTATATTAATTCATAATTGTATGAATAATTTAATATAATAACTTACTTTAATATGCACCATCCTCTTCATTTTACAAGATCCTGCTTTAAGATTGCATTTACTTGCTTCAATATCGTTCTCATCCCAATGTGGAAACCATTTTAAATTTTTAAATGTAGCATTATTTTTAATATCCACGGGCATAAGATATTCATCTAATGCTCCAACCATGTACAATTCAATAGAAGCGTTATATGCTGCACTTCTTTTAGCATTTTTTTTACTATTAAAAAATGCTCCCTAAAGAATAGAAACAGTTAACATAAGATAAATTATAATACTACATTTTATTAATTTATACAAATAAAAATAAACTATTACATTTATCGGAGTTTTAATAACACTATTAATTGGCAGTATTAGTTTGTATTTTTTTAAATTACTAACACTTTCAGTCATATACCATTCCGGATGTAAATTCGAGAACCGATCTTGAGGTAAAGATAAACAGTACCTATAAATCATTCAAATCAAACAAAATAAATTAAATTTATTAATACTTATTTTTATTTATTACTAAAGTCTACATTTTTATGTAATTGCATGTATTTTTTGAGAGTTATTAGTTATAAAAATATTAAAAATAGAATTCATGGGAAAATATTTTTTATAAATTTGCATAGATGTTTGATCATTTTTTAAGAGTTAAAAGATGTTTACTAATTAATTTCATTATCATATTATTCTAAATTACTTTTTAAATTGTGATGAAAATATAATTCCTTAGTTTAATATAAATTATTTGTTTTAATTTTATGGAAAATACTTAAAAAAAATGTTTTATCATAATCATTTAAAACTTATATTTAAGTGACTATTTTTGAAAATTATTAGTCAGATTGAATTATACAATCAAACAATCAATAATTTTAATATATATATAATGATATTATTATGAGGTCGCTATTCATTCTTTCTTACAAATTATGTTTTATTTATTAAATTTTTATATTAATTTATTTATTATTTTTATTATTTTTATGAAAATATTTGTAAGTTTATTTTTAAATACTTTATTATCATATTTTGACTTTTGAGCATAAAAGTTCAAACCCTATTTATAACTATCTAAAGAAATTAATAATTTTAGTTCTTTAATTAAGTACCTTGAAATAATATTCATAGCATTTTTATAAGTTAATATAGCGTGTTTAGTCTTAAACGTTGTTGTTATATTTTCATCAATATTTTCTTCATCAATATAATTTTCTACTAAAATCTAAAATAAAAAAAAAAAAACCAAAATATTATTTCTTTTTAAAATAGACAACTCAAAAGGCACTTTAAGTGTGGAGTACTTTTGTAAATTCTTCTTCCATTTTAATGTATTCAGATTGAGTATTTTGAAAATTCAACTGGTTTGGTACCATAATAATGAATTTACTCTCAGAAGAACGTGCTCTTTCTTTAGATCGTATATAAGAAGGAAAATTTTTTGGAGAATCAAATCTAATGACAAGCTTACAAATTTGAATATCAATGCCTTCTAATTTTTCTGATGAAATAAGAATATTAATAATGTTGTTGTTAAACCTACAAAAAAAAAAAAAAAAATAAATAAATAATAATATACATTATTATGAATTATTATTAGTTTTAGTATGATAATTATAATATATATATTTAAAGTAATAGATTAAATAATAAAATACTTCTTAATGATTTCAATATTTTGTCGATTTCTATATATCAGTTCATTGCAATTAGTATTAACTATTTCTTTTTCCCCAATCATAAATTCACATTTAATATTGCTTAGCATATATTCTTCAGTGTAGTCCTGTCACATATATCAAATAGAAATTTTAACAAATCAACTAATGAATGATTAGACTAAATAGTATGATATAATAATTATTATATTTTTAACGCACTTTGATATAATGGTATAAATACTTAGCAGTTGTTCGACGTTCAACAAATATTAAACAAGCATCAGTGGTTTTCAAAGTTAATAGATGTTGCATTAACTGCTTCACTTTTGGAGACACATTGTTTAATGTAATTGAATGATTTTTGTGAATAGATGCGTGTTTATTCATGTAATCAAACAACATTTTTCTAATTATAGTTATTTCTGACAATATCAATGATAAAATCAAACATTTATTGTCATCAATACATGTTTTCTTTTTTTTTTCAACTTCAACCAAAAAATGCCAAGTGGCCACATATGCAATGTATGGACCACCATCAATGAGATTCGCCTAGAAAAAAACAATGTTTATTTATTCTATTGAAGATAACATTAAACACTCACCTCTATATCATTAAAATAATTAAATAAAGTCTTAGATTGTTTTTGATGTTCTAAGAAATATACTTCATCAATTACTTCAAACCTTTCAGATTTAAAATTTGACTGGAAACATTTTAAATATTTAATAATTTTTGATATACGAATAATAACAGTTTTAAGTTCATCATCCAAAATGAACTCGTCATATAAACTTATTTGTTCTTTTGGACGTGCTGAAAAACTGTCATTGTTGTTATTAATTATTAGTTTTACAATATTATTATTAACTTTTTAATAATTACACTTGAATATTTTCATTGAGCTTAGATACAATTTGACTATTGAAAGTTTTTTGCAAATTCATAAGTTCATCCTTGACATTTGTGGTATTTTCATTAATCAAAGTAGCAGTGATTCCAAGAATATGAGGACGTTCATCACTTATTAAATTAGTATTATCATATACTTGCATTATCTGATTTATATAATAGATAAACAATAAAATTAAAAACACATAAAAATTATAAATTCATTTTAATTCATTTTTTTCCTTTACTGGTAGAATTAATATTTTGCTAATAAAATAACTAGTTCGTCCACTTAAATTTGTGCAATACTGCAGTTCAGTTATGCGTAAAAACATCAACAATTTATTGTAATATCATTACCACAAATTATATAATAAGTGAAAATAATTTGTATCAATTATGTTTATATTTATGGCTTTTAAGCTTTGTAAAATCATATATTAGTTTTATCGAACAAAATCTCAAACTAAGAAAAAAATTTTCATGGTTTAATATTTTTCGTATTTTTGCTTTAATTTACATAATCATTTATTTTTGGATTCAAAATTCCATTTTGATAATCGTTTTAAGTAATAGTTTGATGCACAATAGAAAATTTTGAAGTATAATAACAAAATCAAAAATTGCTAACAGTATATTATGTAGGTTTTATCTGAGCTTTTTTAAAGAATAATTTCTCAAATATTCTAATTATTTTAAATGCACAAATTTACAAGACTCGGTATTAAATAAAGTGTAGTTGATGTAAATATTAACATGTAAGTCAGATAATATAATTTGACTTGAGATTTAAAATTAAAGCTAAGTAAAAAAAAATTATTAAATTTAACATATTTTAAACATAAATTTAATAATTATAATACTTGAATATCTAGAACACCTTACATCAGTGTTAAAATGTTAAAAGTGTATTGAGGAACTTATAAATATACTTTCGGTACTAACTTGTTTAAATGGATGTAATTCTACAGCATGATGACATTCATCAAAAATAAGAAGATTAGCATCATTTATATTCATGTAACCACGATTCAGATTATTCAAATAAACTTGAGCGGTTATGACTAGAATCTAAAAAAATAAAAAATTTAAATCTTCTTGTATCTTCTTACGAAATACTAATATAATTAAATCTATTAAGTAAATTTGAGAAACCCAGTTTTGTACCAATTAATAAATTATTTTGTTTCATTAAAAATCTAAAAATTTATAGTTAAGAAAAAAAATGAACATCGCATTTATTTTATTACGGATATAATAAAATATTATCTTAATACTATTATAACAGTATATGTATGTATTTGTACTATTTATCATTGTTATTAACTTTTGAGTCAATTACGACCTACCTATATTAATAGGTTTATGTTGTTCGTAGTATAAATAAGCAATAGTATAAAAATAATTTTAATGTATTAGAAATGTCATTGATAAATAAAAATAAGATACTGAGTCGAGCTTTTTTCTATCTGATGAGCTTTTTTTGCTTTCTTTACACCCCTCTCTCCCTTAGAAAATTTCTCTTTCTGCCCCTGCTGTAGGACGGGGTGATAAACATTCAACATTCAAAATAATCAACTTCATATAACATATATATTATATATATATGTATACTTTCCCATTACATATGTTTTAACCATACAGTTTTATTAAGCATCTTTGCCTCATTTATACCCTTTGAGGCGAAAACGTATATATAATATTTATACAATATAATCATGCTACTCACGTGACACTTTTTCAATATTAAATTCCAACTTTTTGAATTGTTAGTAATCATGTCATCACCAATAGTACCTATATTCCACGGCAAAAGACTTCTTAATTTATCTGCTTGTTGATTAATAAGAGGTACAGATTGGACAATAAAAAATGTCCATTTTCTTCCTTTGCCTTTTTGTCTAAAAATTGTTTTGAATATTTTTTTTTATATACCTTACATTTGTAAACATTTAAAAATAACAATTTTTATACAAACTTAGTTAAACAGTCTCCACAGTGTTTAATAAGCGATGTAATTATAAAAGTTTTTCCACTTCCAGAAGGTAGATATAAAATTGTATTTGATTTTTTAATACTCTCTAAAAGTTGATAATCTTGAGGGTCTACACTTGAAATATCCTTTGAAAAAAGTTGAATAAATAATTATAATAAAGTAATATGACAATTGTTTTTATTTTTATTTTTCTTAACATAAACAACTTTCGTACACATATATATTATTATGTCCGGATAACATTATTTTAAAATTATTCGGAATTGAAGAAACAATATAAAAACAAATTTTAGATATAAGTAGATACTATTGATACTTTTGTCAAACTATTTAACATGTGTGTAACCGAGTCACTCAATATAGGTAATCTTAATAAATAGTATTCATTTTATACTTTTATTATATACAATATATAAATAGTCTTATTATGTTTAAAGTCAGATTCGATATAAATTCGTTTATGATATTCCAAAATTGTATTTTATAAACTTTTTTGATTTTGTTTAATTCAAGTTTTCATACATAATGTCAGTGATTTTCTTAATAAATCAACAAAAAATAATTATCATTTAATAGAGATTATTGTATCATTTGTACCTATAATATAATAATCTTTGGTTGGATACTTAATATGTTTTAATTTTTGTTATTGAAATGATTTTTTAAATTAATAAATTATAAATAAGTAAATAATAATAAGTTGTTTTTTTTATAAATTATAAGCAATAAAGTATTGAAATGTATTTAAATAATTTATAATAAGTATATTACCTCTTGTAGTTGATCCATTTTCGAAGTAGATATTTGAAGTATTTTTGAAGTATTCGAATAAATTAACAGCCAATCTTTAACACTAAATATTATTAAGTTAGTAATTTTTGCATTTAATTACATATAACATATTTATTTACATTTAATTATAATATTATATTTTATTCTAAAATACAATAATTAAATGATGTAGTGAATACAGTTACTACGGTCCTAAAAAAATATATATATATTTTTTTTAAATTTATGTTAATCGTTAAATTAACTTGTTAAATTGTCATATTATTTCAATATAAGTACATAGAAAATGATTGTATTAATAATTGGTGGAAATGTATAGATTTTATGGTTATTAGTTCGAATTATGAGTTGTTATAAAATAAAAATTTTATTTTTCTTGATTTTTTTGCAGTAACCAGTGGTTTCGAACGGAAGACGGATACGGAACAGAATATAATAACGCGATAGCTCAAACACTGAACAGTATCTATATTATCGTGTAGGAGATACTCAAAACATACCAAATTACAAAATACAGAATTATTTATCCTTAGAAACAAGTCGAATAGGTATTAATATACAAATTGATGAATTAATATTTTACTACTGTTAATTATTACTGAACGCTTTAAAAGGGCGTCGCATCCGCATGTGTTGTTCCCGCATTACACACATACGATATAGTAAATTTTCGTTTACCAGTTTGAATAGTGTGTTTTTAGTTTTTATAATAGAGTGAATTATCAAACTTTAGATAAGAACATTATCTGTGTTCTTTCGTTGGTTTTTTTTTACGATATTTTAATTTTTAAGTGAATTATGAGCATTTTAAACATTTCTATTTTTCAAACTCATAACTCACTTAAAAATTAAAATATCGTAAAAAAAACCAACGGGAGAACACAGATAATTTTCTTACCTAGAATTTTGATAATAGATCAATTCACTCTAATGTCAAAACTAAAAGCTCATATATTTAAACTGGCGAGCGAAAATTTACCATGTTGTACGTGTGTAAGACTGAGACAACACATGCGGGTGCGACGTCTATTCTCAAGTGGTTTATTGTGAAATGAAAAATAATACGAGACAGTGAGTTTTCATATTTTCGATGAGAAGCTTTATTGCCGAAGTATCAGACCTTGTAGTGAGACCATTTCATTTACAACAATTCTTTTTCCATAACTCAGAAAGCGTCTGACCGAATTTCAACAGTGTTTATTGACGGTAATAAAATGGCGCGGACAACCGAAAATGAGTCGGCAGGAAGTATAAAAACCGTGCCGACTGACCGTAAACACAGCGCGCGCACTTAAAACGAACAGCATAACTATTTACTTACGTTAGTAGTTAATTATGCGTTTAATGGTATTGAATTATAGCTAAGAAATAATATAAAATTACCTACATGGTACTCAAGTGATTCTTTTTCTAGAAAATACCTGTGCGATATCGTAGTATATAATATTAGATACTGTCCGTCTGTCCAAATACATATTAATTCTATTAAGTAGTAAACAATATTTAAAAAAAAACACCACTTCGATGTTATAGCGACTATTAAATTAACGCGGACCTAATAGATAAAATATTATTTTCTACACCGAATTTATTATTTTAGTTTTTAAAATGTTTTTATATTTGATAGGAACAGAATCGACTAAATAATTGTGTATATACCTATCGTACGATAACAATCGAATCTCGATAACTTAAACCTTTAGAGCAGTGATTTTCAACCGGTGTGTTGTGGCACACTGGTGTGCCGCGATAAATCTATTGATGGAGTTCATTTTTTATATATATATGTATATATATATATATGACGTATTATATATAAAAATACATGCTTCACGTATTATATGAATTGGTGTGCCGCAAAAATTTTGTAGAAGAAGTGTGCTACATTGTTAAAAAAGTTGAAAACCACTGCTCTAGAGAGATAAAAAGTAATTATATTTGTTCTGTGTTTTTCGTATTAAACACTTCAAACACAATACTTGTAGAATCAAGAAAACAACTTTGAGTTATCGCGACTTATCCGTATTATCAACGTTATCAATAATAAAAAAAATCAATACTATCATATTATATTTTGTATACAAAAAATCAGTAAAATAATTAATATGCCTGACCTAAGTTGTTGTATATAGTATATTTACAAGGTTATCCTAATGATATTAATAATAAAATATCGATGAAAATAATATTTATGATAATAATAATAATAATAATAATAATAATAATAATAGATAGTATATAAAAGTAATAGTTGGTTTGTACTCACCGTTGGTCCTGAGTGCGAAAACAACGTACGCTCTGTCTAAAGAGAAAACAGCGTGTGTTGACAGTGAATCACGATTTGAGCTCACTAGGGTGATGTTATCCTTCTTTTTTTTCATCCCCACTAATACGTTCTACTGTGTTCATTTGTGTCCGTCCAACATAGGAATACGTATACAACAATATACCAATAATAGCATAATATAATATAATCTCTATTTCTACTCTGTAAAAATTGTTTTCATATATCACGTATTATAGTATTGCTGACAAAAGACTGTATCATTACAGTAAACGGTCTACTGAAAACATTATTTAGATTTAATAATTCGGTAGAACAATTAAATGACGATTAAATTGGTTTTTTGTTAACATGGAATATTTATTATGAATTAAAAATTAATTGCAAAATATATTATACAAAAAAAAAAAAAAATTGTTTATTTTCCTGTTTCGTACGTTTCTATTATAACTAATTCTTGCAAAAAATGGATTTAATTTAATTCAGTAATAAACGTTTGCATACACGTGTAGGAGTATATAATTAACAATTATTGTAGGATTTTTTAAACTTAAAATTTTGTGAACAATTGCACACTTTTTATAGACATTTGGAGTTTAAACGAATAAAAAACTTGATACTTTTACATAGGTACTCGTGTCTTACGTGATTCATCTTATATATTTTGTATATACAATGATATTTTTGAAACATTTAAATTAATATTTTAAGTTGTTGCCTATTTATATCACAAACCTTTTCACGCCATTCTACAGTAAGTTGATATTATTCAAACGTTAATGATAATATAAATTATCATCACTAATATTAACAAATATAAAAACTATTTATATAGTTTTCTATTTGGATAGTTGCGTAACGTCAATGTAAAATATAAGTCCTAAATAATTAAAATTAGACTGCTCATTCAAAATTCGATTTTTTTTCCCTCGAAATGTATACACACAAAAAAGAATATTCTGCTTTTAAAATAAAAAAATTAAAAACGCATGTTGTTAAATAAAATATATGTTTTTTTAGAATAATTTATTGTTAATTAACGACTTACTGAGATGTAACAATGATGTATTTAAGAACGACAATAGTTTTTAAAGTGTAGAACGTTAAATGAATCATCCGGTACATTATATATATTATATTTCGACCATTTCGGGTATTCGTTTTACTTTATTAAATAATCAAACTGCAGATAGCCGTAGTATAGACCAGCTGTATTGAACATCTGCTAACCCCTCGTGTTTCAGTTTAAATCTCCTATTGTCCATTATAACGATGAGTCACATGTAGACTTCAAATAGATGTAGGGACCGGATTTATATGCCGAAATAATCCTCAAAATATTATGCTTCTAAAAATGCTGTAATATGATACAAAATATTCATTTACTATTAAATATGCATTAAAAATTGAATCGTAAATAATTTATTTAATATGATGTAAAAACTAAGTATTAATACTAATTAAGTATTCAAAAATATATAAAAAAAAGTATTTCGTCATCTTTGCCATTTAATATTCTTTATTTTCAATTTATAAAATATTAGCTTACTTTCATAAAAAATCAAAACAAATATTGATCTTTATTAATATATTATAATTATGGCTCGGAAATTGTAGGGAATGCATATTGTTCTGTATATTCTCAATTTATAGCAGACCAAATTAGAAATCTGAACTGTACTATGGAGAATCAAAAAATTGTAAATTGAATATGCATATTTTGTCAATTTTAGCTAAAAAAAGTGCATATTTCATTGATTTTATACGCATATTATGCATATTTAAAATTTTTTTTTAAAGAAATTGATTTTTTTCTTTCTTAACCTGTATATTCAATTAATATTGAATATAAAACTCAAAATTTTCAACGAAGATATTTATCGTAATTTCAAAAATACTGAAAAAATATTTTTAATTATATTTTTAGCTCAATAAGATGTCAAAATGCCAACCAGTTATAATTTTTTTTTAGTTACAAACAGTTTTTACGTATATTATTATTTTATTAATTTATTAACAATATCTGATGTATTTCTTTCTTTTTTTTGGAATTCAGAATAATTTTTTTCCATATTTAACATCATTTTAATGCATATTTTGTAATTTTTTCATGCATATTTTACCTTTTTTAGCTCCTACAACTTCCGAGCCTTAATTATTGTATATTATATGTTGCATATGATGAGTAGGTACGCCCATTTTGTCGTTGACAATAAAGACCACTCGTAAATTTTATCGATATTATGTGGCTGTGAACGTGAAAATACGACGAAAAAACAATTTATTTGCTCATATGCGCCATAAAACTATTAATATGTATTTATTAGGTAAAACCGTTGAAACATGCAAAATACAATAAGTGTTATTTTTAAGAATCATCTTTCGATCTGAAAGCGATTCTTATCAAACTTTAAAAACCTCATTCCAATATATATGTACCTATGGCATTTGCATATAAGTCCGGTCCCAACTTATAATATTTACTATGGTAATATTATCATTAGAGCGCGGATTTCTATGCCATTGCATATTTTTTTCCTTTTAATATTTTTGGATTTTTGTCAGTTATCTCCACGAATTATCATAATTTGAAGCTAATGGTGAAATTTTTTTTTGCATATTTCTGCATATTTGAAGGTTATTGCATATTTTTGCATATTTTGACAAAATTCAAAATTTATTGCATATTGAAGCGAAAATTTAAAAAAATGTATAGGATAATATTTTGTCGAGTAGAATGATTTAAAATTTATATCTATTCATTTGGC